GGGATAACGGAAACGTAGCGTTGGCGGCAGATTTGGGGGTGTTCAAAGGCCACCTGGGCATGGACCGTTGCCACCAGTGTGGAATACGGCTCGCGCATGATGCACCGTCCTACGAAAAACCGTCTAGTTCCCGTTCATCAACTCCCGGACCCACATTGCGGCTGGGTAGTCGAACAAGCCTTCACCATGTCCCCGGAAGCCATAGGTACCATGTTCCCGATGGAATGGCTCTCAGCATGGCGACAACGCCAGGGATCGTGACCGCACCGCCTCGAGAGCACCAGAAAGCACTGAAGCTCCCATGAAGTATCCGGATTACTCATACGAGATCCCCGGTAGACGGCGTAAGGACGCAGGCAAAGAGTGGGTGGTGTGCCCGCCCCTGTCCCGTCTCGCATCGGATAAAATGGATACACGACATCAGGCCCGCACCTGCATACGGAATCTTGGATCTCGGACCAAGATCTCGATGTCGCTAGCATGCTTTTCCTAGTTCAGTAGCGCTGACAAGCAATTTATATTCTGCTGGTATGCTCGAGGGCGGCGATTTACCGGTCTCCAAGCCTTGTATCGGCTATTTATTCTTTGAGAGAGCGCTGCTTTTCCACGGGACGCGATTATGAAGTTACAGGCATCCACTTTGCTGGCGTTTGCGCTGTTGGAGTATGGTAGTGCCGCAGTTATTGAGCGGGAGGCAAAGGGTGCGGTTAATGCCAGCTCTTATGACTTTGTACGTTGCCTTTCGAAGCCAACAGGTTCCATCCCAACTCCGAAGATGATCTAACAGACAATGTAGATAGTGATTGGGGGCGGAACTGCAGGTCTCGCAGTCGCTTCACGCATTAGTCTCGGACTCCCAGATCTCAACGTCCTCGTCATAGAAGCTGGACCCGATGGCCGTCAGGAACCAGGTATCAGCGTCCCAGGAAGAAAAGGGTCAACACTTGGTGGCAAATATGACTGGAACTTCACTACCATTGCCCAACCCGGCGCCAACAACCGCGTTTTTGCGCAGAACCGTGGCAAAGTCCTCGGAGGATCCTCTGCGCTCAATCTCATGACATGGGACAGGACTTCCGAGTACGAACTGGACGCATGGGAGAAGCAGCTAGGCAACAAAGGATGGAACTGGAAGAACTTGTACGCTGCGATGTTGAAGTGCGAGACATTCCTGCCGTCGCCTGCATATGGCACCGAGGGGGTCGGCACAACGGGGCCCATCCGCACGCTCATCAACAGGATCTTTCCCCGTCACCAGTCCGCATGGTATCCCACCATGAATAGCCTCGGCTTGGCGACGAACCGAGAGAGCCTGAACGGTAACCCCATCGGCGTCTCGACCCAACCTAGCAACGTCAGCCCCAACTACACTCGCTCTTACGCCCCAGAATACCTCAAACTCGCCAAGGATAACCTCGTCTTGAAGCTAGACACGCGTGTGGCGAAGATCAACTTCAAAGGAAAGACTGCCGTCGGTGTCACCCTGGAAGACGGTACAACAATCACCGCGCGAAAGGAGGTCATTCTCTCGGCTGGATCGTTCCAAACTCCCGGTCTTCTGGAACACTCCGGTGTCGGCAACTCTACTCTGCTCAAGAAGCTCGGTATTCCCGTTGTTAAGCACCTACCTTCGGTTGGCGAGAACCTCCAAGACCACATCCGCATCCAAATCTCCTACCAACTGAAGCCCGAATACCCTTCCTTCGACGTCCTGAAGAATGCCACCCGCGCAGCCGCTGAGCTAGCCCTCTACAACGCGGATGAGGTCTCACTTTACGACTACACCGCCAGCGGCTACGCATACTTCCCCTGGGGCACCGTCAGCAACTCCACCGCGTCCGCGCTCCGGAACCTCGTTGACAGCGACGCCAGCTTGACGTCCGCAACCGACAAGTTGAAGAAATCATACTTCTCCCCCGCTCTCAGCACAAAGGTCCCCCAGCTTGAAGTCATCTTCTCAGACGGCTACACCGGTCTGAAAGGCTACCCCGCCGCCAACTCCACCCAATTCGGCATCGGCACATTCGCACTAATCGGCGTGGTTCAACACCCCCTCAGCAAAGGAAACGTCCACATCCCCTCCCGCAACATCAGCGACAAACCGCTCATAAACCCAAACTACCTCTCCCACCCCTACGACCTCGAAGCCGCTACAAACCTCGCCAAATACATGCGTAAGATCGCTTCTACCGCGCCCATGAGCGAGGTCTGGACAAATGAGTACGAACCGGGCAGTGCTGTGCAGACAGATGCGGATTGGCGCAAATATGCGCTGGCGAATACGTTGAGTATTTATCATCCTATTGGTACTGCTGCGCTGCTGCCGGAGAAGGATGGTGGTGTTGTGGATAAGGAGTTGAAGGTCTATGGTACAAAGGGGTTGAGGGTGGTGGATGCGAGTGTTATTCCTCTTTTGCCGAGTGCGCATTTGCAGACGCTTGTTTATGGGATTGCGGAGAGGGCTGCGGAGATGGTTGTGGGGGAGTATAGTTAGGTGGTAGGGTGTTAGTGAATATGTCCACGATACTTGGATCAAAGATGTTGACTGAGCGGCAAGACAGCTGCACCAGATTACACAGGCACGTCAACCTTGCAAAAATCCGAACAGGTCTAGAGCCTACATCGACGTTAAGACACCTACTTTGCAGGATTCTATGTTAATGTAGGCTGCAGACATGTTCGGTTTTATGCTTGTATGAGGTGCAGGTCTCTGTAACTGGCGCGTTATTCCATGCCGGTCATGCTTCATAAGCGTGTTACTTCCTTCTTCTAAGGCCTCCCGACCCGTTTGGGCTAGCTTCCCTTCCCCCGCATGTAGGACCGACCTTAACCATCACTATTTGGATGCCGCCGATGGCGACATGCCGCGGCATCACTACCAATGCGCCCTTCGGACGACACCTCAACAATTCGGTGCAAAGCATTATTAGGATAGATGCCGACGGCAACAAAGTCATCCTTGGAATGGATGAGCCTCGTCACCAGAGCATGACGCCCAATAATTCTTCCTAGCAGTACAAGCTACATAACCCAGAGCTCGGACAGAAGACATCGGCCCACTGACTACACACCACGAAAACCTCCCTCAGGTTCACTCCACAAGCTATCAACATGTCTTTCTCGATAGGCATGCCCTGGAACGAGGGCGAAGAGAAGATGCACCGCCTCCTCCGCATTCCGCCTCAAGACAATCCAACATCAGCCATGCTCACACCACAAGCTGCCTTCATGTTCCAAAGAGCTCCGCTACTTGCTTTTGGAACTCTAGACGAACAATCTCGGCCTTGGACGACACTATGGGGTGGCGAACCTGGTTTCTCAGAGCCGCTTGGTGGAGGTTTCATCGGTACGCGCACTCTCGTCGACGGCAAGCATGATCCTGTTGTACGAGCGCTCTTGGGTGGAGGGGAGAAAGGAGAGAAAGGCGAGATGCCACAAGCGAAAGACGGTGGGAAGCTAGTAGCAGGTCTAGCCATCGACCTGATGACGAGAAAGAGAGTCAAAACCGCCGGCCGCATGATCGCAGGTACGATAAAAGACGTCGACGTCGAAGTAGAAGGCGAGTCAAACAGGAAACAAACGCAGCTCCAACTCGTCACGAAGATCGAGCAAAGTCTCGGGAACTGCCCAAAGTACCTCAATCAGTACGAAATCCGACCCGCGCTTCTGGACCCAGAACTAGTATCGCAAGGCTCATTGTTATCCGAAGAAGGAACAGCGCTGATATCCAACTCGGACATGTTCTTCCTCTCCACCAGCACAGAAGACGACATGGACGTCAACCACCGCGGCGGCCCACCGGGCTTCGTCCGAATCATATCCCCAACTACCCTCGCCTACCCCGAATACTCTGGGAACCGGCTCTACCAATCCCTCGGCAACCTGATGCTTTGCCCGAAAATCGGGCTTGCTTTCCCCGACTACGAGACCGGAGATGTTGTGTATATAACCGGCACGACCGAGATCCTCGCTGGCACAGACGCCTCCGCCCTCCTACCAGGCAGTAATCTCGCCGTTAAGATAACAATTTCAGAATTTCGGTACGTAAAAACTGGTTTACCATTCCGCGGCACAAAGAAAACACCAAGTCCGTACAACCCACTCGTCCGCACACTAGCTACCGAAGGCAACATCCGCGGCGCACTATCCAGCACCTCCCAATCCACACGCCAAACAGCCCTCCTCACAAAGAAAGCCATCCTAACACCCACCATCGCACGCTTCACCTTCTCCGTCTCCGAAGGTCTCACATACCGCCCAGGCCAATGGATCGCGCTTGATTTCAGCCAAGAGCTCGATGTGGGATATGAGCATATGCGGGATGAGGATCCGGCGAGTTTGAACGATGATTTTGTTAGGACGTTTACGATTTCTTCGACTCCTACTGCAGGAGACGCGGGTAAAGAGAAGGAGTTTGAGATTACCATCCGAAAAGTGGGGGCTGTGACTAAGTTTCTGTTCCAGCAGAATGAGCGGGCGGGGCTGGAGGTGGGTGTTTTGGGTGTGGGAGGGGAGTTCAAGGTCGTGAGTGCTAGGGCTGGAGAGGGGAGAAACGTGTTTGTGGCTGGGGGTGTGGGTGTCACGCCGCTGTTTGGTCAGGTTGGTGGATTGGATTTACAAAACAGCAAGTTCGCGTTGCTGTGGGCGGTGAGGGGGGAGGATGTGGGGTTGGTGCTGGATACGTTCAAGCGGTATCCTGGGCTGGCGAAGTGTGCGAAGGTGTTCTTGACTGGCCGGGCTATAGAGAGTGAGCTTGCTACGATGAGAGATGAGATCAAGGCGCAGGCGGATGTGGTGGAGAGGAGGATGATGAAAAGCGATGTACAGGATGTGCAGGCTGAGACGTGGTATGTGTGTGCTGGAAAGGGGATGAGAAAGGAAGTGACTGGGTGGCTGGATGGACAGAAAGTGGTGTTTGAAGACTTTGATTATTGAGAGCTGGAGAAGATCATGTAATCTTCACCCCAGAACCCCATATCCTCCCCACTCCACCCCCTCCCCTAAACCCTCCGCCTAACCCTCCCCGCAATCCCCTCTCTCGGCCTCATTGTCCCAAACGCCTTCCTCTTATTCCCCGGATCCAGCCTCCTCGCTCTCTCCAAATCACTCACTTCAATCTCAAACACCCCCATCAATACCGCTAGTGTCACAATGCCGATATTGCGTGCGAAATGCCTACCGGGGCATTTATGTTCGCCGCCACCGAAACTAGTCCAACTACCGCTTAGACCTGCGTCGCTGAACTTTTCTCTCTTCTCATCACCAGCATTACCAACGATATACCGATCAGGCCAAAAGGTATCTAGAGGCTTGGCAACAGTTTGAGGTCGGATGGACTTCCAGCCCTGGGTGAATTGGCCGGCGAATTTATGGCTGATGAAGACTTGGGTTCTTTTCGGTACACTGTATTTCCCATCTAATTTCCACACGTCACTCGTAACCTCTCGAACCGCGAGGTTGGAACTATACATTCGTGTTGTCTCGGCGTGGAGGCTCTGGAATAGCGGGCGCGATGTGAGTTGCATGAAGTTGTACAATTTTGTCTCCTCGTCTACGTGGTCCTTCATCTCAGACAACACACGCTGTTGTAGTTCCGGGTTCCGCAGCGTTTCGAACAGATACCAGAATGTGACGGGCACGGTTAGGCTGGTTCCTCCGTAGAGCAAACCGAGAGTTTGAGCGGATCGGCCTTCGATACCGTGGCCAGGCATTCCGCTGTACAGTTTCTCGCGCTCTTGAAGAAGGCCCGAACCTGCCACGGGGTCCCACACAGTGTTTACAGCGTTGGCTTGACGCAGAGCCTCGGACTTGATGGTCCAGGTGCGGATTGCGGAGAGGAGGCGGTCGCGGGCGGCGTATGCTTTTGGGATGACGAAGCGGGGGAGGCCCATGAAGAAGTGATCTGTGGCTTCTATGTGAACCCAAAGGTCTGTTATGATTTCTGGGTAGGATTCGATAATCGAGCTTCCAAGTAGTGTTTCCGTTATGCCGTAGGAGAGGTGGTATTCGAGGAAAGCGTAAAGATCGGGGATTTCGTGCCATGTCCCATCGGGGGTTGAGGCGAGGGTTTCGGAGATGGTGCGCCTCATGACATCGAAGAGGCGTTGGACGAGGAGACCGAGATTGGAGCCAGTGGTGTGTTGCCGGATGTGCGTAGTTTGGATGTAGTCCGTGTTGCTTTCTGGTGAGTTGTAGTAGTCGATGGCGGCTTTGGGACTGCTCATTAGTGCGCCCATGATCTTGTCGTGGATGAAGGGGTTGGGGTCTAGTTCGGCGGAATTGTTGAGCGCGCCTTTGATGTGCTCGGGGTCAAGGATGAAGAGCAATCTTTCGCCTGCGCCGTCGAGGAAGAAGGGTGAGCCGTCACCGTATTCGTTCCTGCTACCATGTTAGTTCTGTTGTGATGTGACAGTTCAGCACAGTTGTCCTTGGTTGCTTACATGCATTTGGCCAGAAAGCCATGTGAATCATACGCCATCGAGAGAGCATGTCGAAGTCCCGGAATCCAATACGGCAGTGTTGGTGGTAAGACATTGTGGCCTTTGCCGTACTTGATGGATCTGAAGACGTGCGACGACCATATCCTCGTGCAAACACATATCGCAGCTATGGCCACGACGCACTGTACGACGAGGCTGCTCTCCAATACTGCGAACGCCGGCCCCAATTGATCGTCCACACGTGTCGCGTTGCTGAAATCCATACCTAGGTATCGTTGCAAAGAGAGCCTTGGACACCTTTTCGATGATACCCCGCGGCTTACAATGACATTGTCATCTTAATGCAAGGAGAGTCCAAAGATAGCAAGGCGACATTTCTGCCAAGTTTGGAGTACGCATCCTTTGATATCCCATAGCCTCCGCAACGGATGGACACCTAAAGTAAAAGGGCCTTTTCGGTTCATCATTATTAGCATGAGCCAAACATTAGGCCCTTTGCCCTGTGCTTGGTGACGTTATCCATGTGTATCCTCGGTACTGCGCAGACTTACGCTGATGCTGTAGCTACATCGCAAAAACAATACATGTTGAGACATCTGCAATGCGCGAAGTATACAAACTCCACGATGATATTGTGCGTGGTGTTGTGCAGCTCACGTGTTACGATAAACCACAAAATCTCCGATCGTCGTTGATGCAGGGCGAGTCAGCGCTAACCCGAAGCGGCGTCTAATCTCTGTGGTATCGGCGGCCTCGTTGGCAGCCTTGGGAACGGTGGGCGCGATGGTTCAACTGGAGGATGTCCTGCATGGCTGTAGTGTACTCGAGCGACAGGTGAAACACCAACGGCGGCTGATTGCGTGCAGGTAGTGCATGAAGGCGCTATTTTTGGTGGCATGGTGTGCATCTGGCGTGCATAGTGCGGAGGTGGAGACGATTGGCCTAGCGTGTCAGGGTCCCGGCTAGAACAACAGAGCTTCGTCAACTCGACATCCTCCGCGCGCTTCGCTGTCATCACCACGCTCCTTCGCGACCTAGACATCCTCCGCCGGAACTCCTCATCCATTGCATTTCTTTTCCCTGTTCTCTTTGCGCACGCTTGTGCTATCCCTCGACCCTCAATAGCTTATCTAGCAGCTAGCTAGGACCGTCGTCAGCATGCCGGGAGTTCGTAAGTGCAATCCTCATCCATTTCCACTCTTCAAATCGAGTCCATCTCCGGATTCGATGCGCTTGCATCTTTGCAAACTTCGTCGTGGCAGTTGGCTACTTTGATGTCTGCTTGTATGCGCGCAAACTCCTACCCCCACAAGCCATGATCCACCACGTTAGCCCGTGTGATCACGAGCACACACGCAGAATCGCTATCTGACACATCCTTCCAACAGCACTCGACGCCATGGACCAGATGAAGAAGGCTTTCAAGGGTCTCTTCAGGGGCAAGAAGTCCAAGAAGGAGGAGCCAAAGCCCACGGCCACGGGTGAAGCCGCTGCTGCTACGCCTGCGCAGACCAAGCCCACCGAGACTACGCCGGCTGCCCCAGCTCCTGCTACTGCGCCCGAGCCCGCAAAGACCGAGACGACACCCTCGGCCACCAGCGCTGAGCCCGCTGCGCCAGTGCCAGCGCCTGCTGAGCCCGCTGCAGCTCCAGCTCCAGCTTCAGATCCAGCTCAGAGCGAGGTGAAGAAGGATGAAGCTGCGGCCCTGACTGAGGTCAAGAAGGCCACGTCCAGTAGGTTTACATCTCGTTCACACTCCAGTCCATTACCGTACCGCGGGAACGAAGCCTGCGATGGCTCTAGGCGGCGACAGAAGGTCGACCTAGACAACCAGTGGAACGGCCCCATCTAGGTGTGGGACTATTGCACCAGATGGATGGCTATGTGTTAGCATCATCGCACTTCCACCAGCACGTTACGACTTATGCGAGATACGACATTTGTCTTGACTAGTATTTCTTATATCTCTTCATCGCTCAAGACACCCAGACTAACGCATCATCTTCCAGCCCCCGAACCCGTTGGTGCCGTCGCGCCCGCACCCCCAACTGCTGCCGAATCTCAGCCCGCTGCCACCGAGGCCCCTAAGGACACTGAGGCCAAGGTCACCGATACACCTGCACCTGTGGCCCCCGTGGAAATGCCCGCAGTGCCTACCAGCCAGCCCGCTGCCGGCATGAGCGCTACAAGCGGTCCTATGTTCGACGAGCCCAACTTTGGCGAGGACAAGGCTGCTGCGCCCGCTGCACCAGCTGCGGTACCAGCTCCCGTTGCGCAAGCTGAGGAGCCCATCGCCCCTGCACCAACCCCTGCGGTTGCGGATCCTACTCTCGCTGCTCCTGCGCCTGCGCCTGTCGCTGAGCCTACCGCTACCACTGCTGCCCCTGCCGCCGCTGAGGAGAAGGCAGAGAAATAGGGAGCTTCCTTCTCGGCTTAAGAGAAGCCACTGGGCATCACCGCACAGTTGAGGAGACACCGCATCAAAAATGGGTCAGAAAACTACAAAAAACAATTTCTTTTGAATACAGCGGGCGAAGGGCGAGTGTTTGGCCAGGGTTTTCAGCATTGTCTCTTTCCACTAATACTATACCCCACTGCTGTATCTTTCGACGGGTGTGTCGAGCTGTTGGCGAGCTTGAACTTGAATCGAAACAATTTCCATGATGATTGCAGCTCTCTTGTCTTAGTGAAAAGTAAACGAATCATCGTCATTGCATTGCCCAAAGCTCCCAACTAGCGCGGGGCAAATCGCAGCCGCGCTACACGTCAAGACAAAGCCCCACCACCGACGTCAACCAAGGGACGCGATAATTCACACTAGAAAGCTGCCTCTCGCGAAACATTTCTACACGCCTGCGAAACGACTCATCCACGACGCGCGCGTGCCCAATAATTCTCACGTTCCCCCTCACTCTGCCAACAACAGCACTATTGCAGCGATGCCTCCCAAAAGCGGCTTCTCGCGCACGCGCAACGTCGACTACGATGACGACGACATCTACGACGACGATGACGATTACTACGAGGAAGAAGAAGCAGCTGGTGCAGCCGATGCAGGAGACGGCGGCATGACAGAAGACGATAAAGAGCAGATGCGTGCAGGTACCATAAGAGTACGCGAGGCGCTGGGGGATAAAAGCGACTTTACGAGCGACGAGCAGATACAAGAGGCGCTGTGGCATTACTACTATGATGTTGGGAAGAGTGTTAGTTATTTGAAGAATAGGCTTGGGGTGGGGGAACCGAGGGAGGAGGTGCAGAAGCAGGGGAAGGAGAAGGTTAAGCCGGTGTCAAGATTCGATCAGGCTGCTAGTGTGGCGGAGGAGAAGGCGCCGGTTACGACAGGTAAGCACGCTCACTGCACTCATCTCTTCACTTGCACTCCACTCTAGCTATGTAGACGCGTCTGCTGCCCCGCTGTCATCCTCCACCGTCGGGTGGGTGGGGGAGGTGGGGGGGAGGCGGAGGGGAGGCGGAGGGGCGGTGGTGGAGGTCTCGTGGAGGACATTTAGGTGTGAAGCAACTGTCATCACACGAAGCCCAACACGTCGCCCTTTCCGCTAGCCATACTCCCCACCCTCTTCCCCCCAACCACCTTCTCTGATTCCATCCCGCACCGTTGCCCCATCTCGATGCGATGCCTACCAACGCTGTCACAGACTTCTTCTGGGATGTGCCCTGGGGCAACGTACCACCCGAACGACTCGGCGTCATCACCGTTGATGCTCCACACTACAAAGGCGGACTACTTGGGGGCTCCTCAAAGCTGGCTGCTCTTGCGGCGAAGCGAAGAAAGGAACGAGAAGATGCGGAAGCTGCTGCCTCGAAAGCCAACAACGATGCGGATTCGGCCATCGCCATGCTTGACAAGCTTTCAGTGAAGAACCAGGAGGGTGGCAATCCTTCTCTCGGCGGCACTGGCCCAGCTCGTCCTTCTCGATACCCCATCCGCAGACGGTCGCCATCGCCAGCACCAGAAGCCCCGAAAGAACCCAAGATAGAAGAGCCTCAAGCACCCCAGCCTGCCGTAGTCGTCGAATCGCCAGCTCAACGCGCCACCGCCTCCATGTTCGCTTCCACCCTTTGCGGCTCTGACGAGTCATCGAAGCACCCCCAAGCACCGCTACAAGAGGTTCCACTACCTTTTGCTGCGTACAAATCGTATGATGGCACTGGTGCTTTTGCTGGGCCGAGTCCGGATGACATTGTGCGGGCAGCACAGGCAAAGGGCGCAGGTGGCGGACGTCACTAGATTTTGATACAACTTCTTTTTGAACATCTCTAAATCATACAGGAACAACACCAAAGAAGAAGAAAAAGCAGACCAACGGTGACCTGACCGAATCGGTCGAGAAGCTTACCGTGGCGGACGAACCGAGAGTGAAGAGCAAGAACCTGAACGTCATGGATGAGTTTGAGAAGAGCGCCTCGAAGCGGTTGGCGAACTTTGTAGTACTTGGTGAGTAGATTTTATCGTCAATGCTATGAAAATCTTATGCTAACTTCCCCAGGCCACGTCGATCACGGCAAGAGTACGCTCATGGGGCGGTTGCTCTACGATCTCAAAGTCATCGACCAGCGGTCAATAGACAAGTTGCGGAAAGAAGCAGAAACCATCGGCAAATCTTCGTTCGCGCTTGCTTGGGTCATGGACGAAACAAGCGAAGAGCGGAGTCGTGGTGTCACAGTTGACATTGCTACAAACTACTTCGAGACCGACAAGACCAAATTCACCATTCTGGATGCGCCCGGACATAAGGACTTCATCCCCAACATGATATCCGGTGCATCACAAGCCGACTTTCCCGTCCTGGTTATCGACGCAAGTACGAACAGCTTCGAGTCTGGTCTTAAGGGGCAAACCAAAGAGCACATCTTGATCGCACGAAGTATGGGCATGCAACATATCATCGTAGCCGTGAACAAGATGGACACTGTCGGATGGTCGAAAGCACGCTTCGACGACATTTCAAAACGCATGACTGCCTTCCTCACCGAAGCCAGCTTCCTCGAAAAGCGGATAACCTTCATTCCGCTCGCAGGCCTGACAGGAGAGAATGTCGTGAAGAAGATCGAAAACTCCGCCGCCCACTGGTACACCGGCGAAACCCTGTTAGAAGCCCTCGAACGCATCGATCTCCCATTCCGAAACTTTGCAAAGCCCCTCCGCCTCTCCGTCGCCGATGTCTTCCGCGGCGACATACGCTCCCCACTCAGCATATCAGGCCGCATCGACGCCGGCACCCTGCAAGTAGGCGACGTTATCCTCGCCCTCCCCGCCAACGAAACCGCCACCATCAAGTCAATCGAAGTACAAGACGCCCCCGTAGACTGGGCCGTATGCGGTCAAATCCCCACACTCCACCTCACAGACATCGACCCCATCCACCTCCGCCAAGGCGACATCGTCTGCGCGCGCAGCGATCCCGTCAAACTCGTCAAAGCATTCACATCCAAGCTCCTCGCTTTCGAACACGTACTACCGATGCCTGTGGAGGTGTTCCGAAGTACCCTAAACTCGCCTGCGGGAATTAGGACGCTGAGTGCTAAGCTGAATAAGTTCACGGGTGAGGTTGTGAAGAAGAAGCCTAGAATTGTTAAGCCGGGGGAGGTGGCGAGGGTGGTGGTGCAGTTGGAGAGGGAGTTGCCGGTGGAGGAGGGGATGAGGGTTGTGCTTAGGGAGAGGGGGAGGACGGTGGGGGCGGGGTTGATGGAGAATGTTGCGTAGACGTAGATGTTGTGTGAAAGGCGTAGAGGGGGGTTGTGCTGGAGCCACCGCCATCTGGAGGCTGTCGGAAATACAGGTTATTCGGTATCCTGCAAGACTATGGTGTAATCCTACGGAACACTAATTCGATTATCAAATAGCCCAGTGGATGTCTTTCCCATCACTGAGACATCTTCTCTCCCCTTCAAGCATATGAAAGTACCTGTTCACTCGCCCGGTGGGCAAGCGTGACTTTGGCATGTGGCATGCAGCAGTGGCGTGTGCTCTTCCTGGTGAGAAACTACCATCGGGAAGCCGCGAACCTTGGAACCTTTCGCTGACACGGTATTTAGCCCTGCTGTCAGCTCTCCTGATCATTCACCAACACTATTCAGGATCGCCAGTCTTCTACAACTCCTCATAACGAGGCGCCCTCATCACCACCTACTGCAAAGACGCGTTACGTGCGTCGCACCAGACGTCGCTTCCAGTTTGACCAGTTTCTCGGCGTGACCGAGCCTACTCGCTGCCACATTGATCGCTCGCACCTGCCTCCTGTCTAGTTGCTAACCCAACGCGGCCAATGGTCTGCCTCGACGCTTTGCAATCGTCCGATACTACGTCAACGCTTGGTCATAGCGGTCGTAGCGCTAATCTCTGGCTGTCTTCGTCTGCTGCCGAGTTCTGGTTCTGTTTCTTCACCTCCACCACACTTTTCACATCCACCACCTCGACCTGTTTCGAATCAACTCACACTCCCACGCCTACGCAATGCCACCTCGCAAGAACAAGGTCACCAAGGGCAAGCGTACCAAGCGTACCAAAGTCACACGTCCTCCAGTCTCGGATGCTGGCGAGTCCTCACCAGCCTATGATCAGGGCTAAGAGCGCACCGACCCGCATTCACCTTCCATGGACTTTTCTTGTTGTGGCCTTATGACGCAGCGCCGCTCGCGCCGTTCTTCAAGTTCTTCTACTGCGACTCTTGACCATGACACCACCCCACGACCCGTATCGTAAGCACAAACCCACAGCCAAGTTCGATAACCGCTGACGTATCCCAGACATCGTACCCGGGGAAAGAGGAACCGAGCCGTCATCCCAGACTCTGATGATGAGCTGGCCACTGAAGACGAGACCGAGGACGGAAGCCCCGTTCCATCGCAGACTCATATTGACTCGGGTTTGAACGATGTGCGAGGATGGGTCGCGTATTGCGTCCTACAATACTACGTCGTAACCTCGCGAAACACAAAGCTGATCCATTACGCAACCACTCAGTGAATGGCTTTCCCATCGATGAGACAACTTCTTTCTCCTTCCAGTACATAACCGCGTCTTCAACCCAGTACTGCTCCATTCCCGCCATTGATGCACTACACACATTCCTCATTCACAGTGGCGCAGGTGTATACATTCACACGACACATTGATCTAGCACTTTGCCGCGCGTTCTCCGACACCACATGCTGACCCAGTATATCGTTCGTCAACACCATGGTCTCACTCGCACTGTCTCGTCACGAATGGGATGGATTTTATTGTATAAAAGACTCCCCAGTATGGCTCCTAGTTGAAGGCATCACATCAACGCACACGCACATCTACACACCCTGAAGACCACCACAGTCTTCATCCACGTATTCCAACAAACACACCAACCGAATCCCCATCTCAGTAACCCAACATGCCTTTCGGATCTTTCTTCGGCGGCGACAACCCTTTTAGCTCCGGCCGTTCTTCACGCCGTGACCCGTATGAGTCTTCTAGCCGTGACCCCTACGGCTATGGCGCATCCAGCTCCAGTAGAATGACCGAACCCTTCTCCCAGCCTTATGGAGACTATACCAGCCAACCCCGTCGTGAGACAACTGGTAGCTCTAGACTTGGCCGCGCTGCATCCCAGCGCGACCCATACGATAGCCGGTACCAGTATCGCGACCTCAGCCCTATGCGCGCTTCCGAACGTCCCCGTGCATACACTAACAAGCATTCATACGACGACCATCGCTCAGTCAGCCCTCTAGGCTCCTCCCGTTTCGAGCAACCGTCTGCTACTCGCCGTCTCCTCTCTAGCATGGGCAGGCCCAGCACTTCCTCTTCCTCGTCCCGCTCTTCCTCCTCATACGCCACCCCCTCCTACGCTTCTAGCTTCCGCGAGCCCCAGCAAACTAGCTTTAGTATTGATCGCGGATACGAGCGTCCCTCGACGTCTGGCGGTTACGGTGGTGGCGGTTTGTATCGTAGTAGCGCGGTGCGTGGTAGCGAGGGCCGCGAGGCGCCGCGCCGGATGGGTAGCGATGGTGAGTATGGAGCTCATCTAGGGACTCAGCGTCGGCCGCAGATGGGGAGTAACTTTAGCAATGGCGGGTTTGGTTGGATGAACTGGTAGGGATGATGAGCGTGAAGGCTGTTGACGCGAAATCCTCGTAGGACCTGGTCCTTCTTTTTTCCTTAGTTTTCCATGTCTTGCGTAGAGCGTAGGTAAGTTGGGCTTGTATAAGCGCCTTCGTACTATGCTGTCGCGTTGCTTTGTAGTTCTGTGATCAGATTATCATCAATCAAGCGTAAACCCCACATCTCAAATTCGTGCGGATCCTGTGAAAATATCCGTCAAATGCATCGCGGTCTATTCTATACAACAAGCCCCCTCAATCCTCTCTATTTCACCATACCCATGTCTATGTTACTGCGTAAAACTCTTCATCATCTTCCTCCCCCTCCCCTCACTTTCACTCGCACTCCCACTAACACCCCCAGCCGTTGTGGTATCTTCATCTCTATACTTGTCCTCCTGTCCATCCTCCGTGATGAGGTCATGAGGCAAATTGATCGCCCGATCAAGCGCATAAGGCAGACCCCTGTGCCTACCACGCAGCATCATGAAGCAAATCACCACTTTGCCAAACGTGTTGAAGTGGCCAGACAGCGACGTGAGATTCGACGGGTGACCAAGCGAAAGACCGACGTTACCGTACGCAGATACGACTTCGAAGAAGATGGCGAAGACGTTGAAAGCCTATTAACATGTTAGTATACCGTTCCCAACTAAGAAAACCCGCTTCGGGGATTTGATCAACTTACATAGTCCTCGCGACTCATAATCCTATCACTCTCCGCAATACAAATCATGAAAACCCCCAAGAAGATATACCACAAATCGAAACTAAGCTGGTTCCGCATGTGGCTGATGAGGTACGTCTTCCCCCCCTTCTGCTCATCGAGATTCTCATCTCCGGCGTAGAGCCCCACGGATTTCTCCTCGTAGCTCTCGCTCATGCGTATGCTGATGGCGATGGGGTAGATGGAAATGTACATCATGACCAGCAGACTGAACTGAACAGCCGGGTTAACAGCCGCGAGGTTGAAAGTCGCGGTACCGGTGTGGCGCGAGGATGCGGATTGGAAGATAGCGGCCAGGATGCGGGGTCCGACGGGTAAGCTGTTTACTTCGGGGTTATCCAGATCGAGGACGATGATAAGGAGGGTGTCGATGAAATTGAGCGCGAAGAGGATGGATGCGAGGATCCAGGTGGCGGTGCTGGGGAAAAGGAGGGTGTAGCATCGGCGCGGGTGATCGAGGAGGAAGCGCAGGGATTCTTTGAGGGATGAAGCGGCGGGTGCGATTTTGTAGATGGACCAGATGAGCAGGCGGAGGAAGACTGGGTAGAATGTGTTGCCCGCGAAGGCGAGGAAGGACATTACTAGCATGGGCCAGGTGGCGTCGCGGAAGGTTACCATGCTGTCGGGTGTGAGGGTCAGGCCGAGGTTGTCGACCATGGTTTGGGCGGAGTAGAACGCCCTGGGAGATGTTAGTGATGGTGATGCGGTAGGGGAGGAGGTGAAGCGTACCACCACGTCTTGTCTTGACCCTGTGATGCGAGGTAGTCTTGATACTTGGCTGGTGCGGTGTGGATCCATGGGAGTAAGCAAACGACTCCCAGTGTGTGTAGGCCGACGAAGTATCCTGGAATGATGATTAGCATGAGCGAGCCATAAATGGCTCTCGATACATACCAATGGTAACCTTGAGCAAGACTTGCAGTGCGCGGTACTCAACACCACCCAATTCTTCCCGGGTCATGGAGCTCAGGTCGATGGTGGGCGTCCTGCGTGCCGGCTTGTCTTCGCTACGACGGGCGCCGCTTGCGGTACTTCCAAGAACGAAGATGGAAGACACAGCGCGGTCTACCGAGGTGGCTTTGCTCATGGTACGCGTGTTCATACTTCTTGTCTCTGACCTCAGGCGACGTAGTGGGTTGCTCGACTCTGCGACAGGCTTGATGCCGTCTTCATCTTCGTCTTCGTCTTCGTCTGTAGCGATCATGTTAGGCATGTTCTCATGGAAGTCCAATTGGCGAGCTTACCATCTGACATCGAAGTGATGTGTTCGCCATTATCGCGTTCTCGTGGACCAGGGACATACAAAGCGCCCTTTTCGTTGACATGGGGACGAGGATCTGGGGCGAATGTAATGCGAGGAGCAGGAGCGGAAGGTTGATCGTTCGACTCGTCTGCAGTGGGAACAGGCTGCTTTTCCGAGACTGTGGTCTCACCGGTGAGACCCTCCTCGATCTTTCGTGTATCGGCGGTGTTGTCGATTGTTTGAGCCCGGCTCATAGACAGTTGCAAGCTCTTGGGTCTACTGTGTGCCGCCGCTATTGGGGGTTAGCTTCAGCTGCAGGCTTAGAGCGACATCTAACATACCAATACCCTTGAGCTTTTGCTTGAACCAACGTAATCGCACAACGACGACGAGTACGTTGATGAATCCCAGATTTGTAACAATAGGTGTGATGTAAACAAAGATCTGCTGGTATGTCTTGAGAGCCTTGACATCAACACTAACGCACTGTCAGCACGGCATCCATCCCAGTACATCAACCCAAACATACGGGTTCAGGCCAGATTCAGTCGACGCGCTGACACCAAAGTAGTACGCATCGATAGCCGAGAGATTGCCATAGGGATAGATGATGATCAGGGCCAGAATCCCGAAACTGAGAATGTATGCATCTACACTTCATTAGCGATGCCGTTCCCGGATCAGACGGAACCGTCTGCAACTTACAATGCAGCGTAATGAAGTTGATTGGCGGCTTCCACATATTGCCTTTGTCGCTATGCGCTCAATCCGCAGTGACACACTGAGGGATTATCGTTACGTGCAGTAACGCAACGAAAGCGCAAGGGCGAAGTAAGCGAAAGAGAAAATAACTCTTTCGTGTTCAAAGTCCAGAGTACAGAAAAGTTACCAGTGTATTGGGAATGGAATAAGAAGGAGAAGAAGAGGACTGCAGAATCACCCAGAAAACACGTGAGCTACAGCGCAATACGGCCTGGGTACAAAGGCCCAGCGAAATAATTGTATGAGGGATTTATCTCGCGATCAGCGGTGTTGCTCAGCCACTGCCATCGTGGGCCTGGTTTTGCCTATTGCGGCGACGAAACCGCACGTGAAAGTAGGATGGGCTACATTTTACTTGCTTCGCCGGCGTGCGCCAAGGGGGGGATAATTCGCGCATTGTGATGATGTCGTGGTTGTGGGAAGGCAGTGCTTTGCCTACAAGCTTCTGGCTGCGGACTAGCGCGGACCCCTCCCGCTGCGTGAAAGCTTGTTATTGGTTGGTTGATTTGCGTGTATGCAGGTGCGCGATCGCTTGCACGGTGGGGGTGTTATTTCACATGGTATACTCGTGGGCTTTGCTGGTTCGTGATGCAGGCGTTGTCGCGCGTAGCTCGCGATGGCTTGCGGAACCTGTGGGATGACTGCCTTGGTGACGGCCTTGAGGGTGTCCACGGCAGTTCAAATGACCGCAAAAGGGCCACGACGTGCGGTGCTAGTGCATCCCATTCAGCCGTAGCCATCTCGTCCAGGGCGAGTCCAGGAACGGAAGACTTTACGTTTAGAATCCTCACCCTTTTCTGATTATTCGCGCAACACGAGACAGGATTTCCTGGCTACGCGCGCGTGATTAAGCTTACACCGCCCAGGTGGATACGGTGATGGGCTTCCTACTTCCATTCCGTCGCATTCGACGCAAGTACATGTTCGCGTTCGCATTCACAGAAGCCTCGAGACACAGTTCTAGGAGCTCACCATGCGGAGCGGTAGGAGTTGGATGATGAGTTCCGATTTTGATTCGACTCTGATGAAGTGGCGTGAAGCCGCTCGTAGCAACAAAGCGCACACAAACTATCATGAGGAGTGTCTGAAATTACTATGCTAACACAACCAGAACCCCAGAATACGTCGCAAAGTACCGTGTCTTGGTAAAGACCCCACTACTCCAAACAATGCCGCTAAAATTCACAAGAAATGTCGTGCAATCGTCTACCCAACAACCCGCACCCCAAAAAGCGCGACAAGAACCATAACGATAGCCGCGACACCCAGCGCCTGCGACATCTCCATCTTCTTCCCCACCTTCGCCGTCATCGCGACCGACTGCTGGAGAACAGGCGCAACAACAACAGGAACCTCCACAGCCTGCTCCACCTTCTGCTTCATCGCCTGCACCTTCTTCCCACCTTTCTTTCCGCGCCTCCTGTTCTTCTTTTTCTGCGCCTGCCGAGCTTGTGGGGCCTCGTCCTCACTATCAACCTCGTTATTGTCATCAGTGTCAACAGCAACAGGGGCAGAAGCGGCGTCATCGGCATCACCGGTATCGTCAGCGGCCAGCACGTGCCACATATTCGACGACACAACAGCCTGGTCTTGTTTGCGTTTCTCGTTGTGCGGCTGGTGATTCGTTTTGCTGGGCGCGGGAGACGGCGGGACGAAATGAGTGTGCTGTGGTGGCGATGACGGCGGCGATGGAGGAGCGCGAGCGGAGATCTGGACTGGCATGGTGGCCGTTTGCGAGGGCCTGTTATAGAAGGCAGCTACGTCGGACTTGTGAGCTGCCTCTTCGGGTGAAGATGACCGCAAGGACGAGGGCGAAACCATAGCACCAAAGTCCCTAACAACGACAGGAGCCTCAGAAATCACACCTCCCCCAAGCGCCGACATAACCTCAGACGGCTCAGAACTGGCCAACGAATCGGGAGCCGGGAGATTCTCAGGCTGCTCCATAGGAGCAGCGGCAGTATCCTTACTACTGGACGTTGCCGCATACGTGACCTCAGCCCTTGTAGACTCGGCGGCAGCCCTGGCCTTCTCCGTGTACATCTTCAGGGGGATGATGAGGCCCTCGTTCTCGCTCTCCTCCTCTTCTTCTTCTTCTTCTTCGTCGTCCTCTTTTTCTTCATCGTCCTGCTCATCGTTCATGAGAAGGGTATACGGATTTGACTTCAATGAAGCCGGGATCGCGGGAGGAGAGGAAGCAGGAGTTGCCAGAGATGCGCGAGAGGCTTGCGAAACGGGGGAGACTTGCGAGACGGGAGAGGTGGGTGTGGCGGGTGACTTTGAGCCACTGGAGACAGACTCGGTAGGAGTCACGGGTTTGGCTTGGGGTTTCGAGCCGGTGGTAGCGGCGAGGGGAAAAGCGAAAGGTGCGCCCCAATCCTGATCCCATTCTTTTGCCAATTGTGACAGGGGGATTATCGGGCTTCTGCTCCTCGTGCTAGTCGCAGTGGTGCCCGCAGTCGCAGTCCTCGCGCGTCTATCTCCGGAGACAATCGCAACAGGCACGCGATCCGCCTTTCCCTCACCAGCAACTCCAGCCTTAGGCGTCCTCTCTTCTTTACCCAAGCCCCCCTCCACCGACACCTTAACTACCTCTTCCCCATCCTTCTCCTCAGCCACGCCATCCGTCTTCGTCGCATCAGCCGCCCCAGGCTCCTCGTACTTCCCAGGCCAAGTCCCATTCTCCCTATCCTGCGCCATCAGGCGCGCGATAATCTCCTGGTTCTCGCCAGCATCAGAAATGCAACGCAGCTTCGCCATTACCATGAGCTCGAACGAGTTCTTGGTCTCGTAGTGGGCGAGGCTAGCTGCGTGGGAGAAGGGGGGAGAAGCCGCAGGGGGAGGAGACATTGTGGGTGCTGATGGTGTGGTAAGTATTGCGTATGTGCGTCAGGATTGTTGACTTGAAATTGGGAGAATATTCAAGCTTGGGTGTTGGTTGCGGGTTGGTTGAAAGTATTGAAAGTAAGAGGCGGTTAGAGTAGTCAGGAGGAAGAAAGGGTGTGCAAGAGATTTAAAGTGAGAGAGCGACTTTGCGACTGTGGGCGGTGCAGGGGCGCGTGCACTGAACTCCAAGGTGAAAATTGATCCAGGTGGAATATTGCGCTTTGTGTATAGGTGCGATAGCGAGTGGAGAAGTGGAGGCTGATTACCGGTACCAAACGTCTATGTCTACCGGTGGGCGGTTGAGCATTCGCGTAATTGTCATTCACGGCCAGTGATCTGGCCACGTACCCCACGAGCGTAAGGGTAGATCCGGGCTTTCACTAGACATGCAGTGGGAACTGTACTTATCGCATACTATTTGGTGCAGTGTCGTGTGGTAATCTTGAACATGGAGTACAGGGGAATGTGGTAGATGGACGGCCACCATCAGGGTTGGCGGAGACATATGCGCCAATGATGTTGTTTGCATTGGTATCAAAGAAATGTAGCGCACGAGGGGTATCATAAAGAGACAAACGGCGATAAGCGTGACGTTGGTAAAACACCCATTCTCGCTTCCCGGGAGGAGACGCAGTCGCGCATGGAGCAAAAACGGACGAAATGATCGAATATCCACACTTACGGCAATACTGGTATCTTCGTAATCCACTCCTCGACCTCCCAGCCATTGTCTTGATACAATTGCTGGAAGTCTGATCGGAACTGTGCTGCTTTTGTGACAATTTCCGCGACGCTGCGATCGCGCAAATGGCCGCTAAGTGGATGGGATGAGTCGGGGCGGCAATACATTGTGAAAATCTTCTCGAAGACTTGAGGACCTAGAGTAGATGTCAGTGTGGTTAGAATAAGCTGTGAACAATGACTTTGAACGTACCGGCAAGATGTCTCAAACCTTCGAGCAGAGCAGTTTCTTCTTGTTCGGTCCACTCCGGCTTATTGCTCAACGCCGATGCTTGACGATGCGGCGGCGCGGAGCGAGGTGTGAATACTGGCAATCGCTCAAAGACAACGCCGTTAGCGTCTCTCTCCTCCAAGTCCTCGAGCCTTGTGATAGCGAGCTTGCTTCTTCTGCGCGCATCGGGCTCACACGTCAAGCGTACAATGTGTAAAGCCTGCCAACGTTTCCACCGCTGCGTTCGTGCTTCCTCAAGCTCGGCTTTGCGGCTCTCCTCCTCTTCTCTTTCTTGCATCCTGCGCTCGAAGTCTTCTTGGATCTTGCGATGGTCCTCCCTAGCTTTGAGTCTACTAAGATGGCCGCGATGTGTCTTGGCGACCTGTCGAAGATGAGCAATGAGACCAATATCGACATCCTTAATGATTCGGTCGCCCTTGGAGCGTTGAGGCACAGAAACATTCCACTCAGTAATGCTGTCTTTGAAAGCCAGTATCCGGTCCATCAGAGGTGAAAGAATCTTCATAGCTTCCAAAGACTCGGTTACGTCACCGCTATTGTCCTGTAGCCACGTATACAATGCTTCGAGGTACAGTGTGAGAGCCCGGAAGACATGACGATAAGCATCTCGTTTGAAGGCGCGCCGGTCCTTCTTCTCGACATCGATGCTGATCTGTCCGAGCGCTCCTCGTAGATCGTCGGCTTCATCGACGACGGTGTCCATGGAAAGGTCGCCTTCCTGAAGGTGGGCTCTGTATGTCTTGCATGCGCGTCTGATGGTGGTAGCCAACTTGGTCCGGCACTTTCCTGGCCGTACCTCTAGGTTGAGGGATTCAAAGACGGCGTCAATGCTCCCAGGCCTTCCTGCAGGGCGCGTTATGTCATCAGCTTCCTCAGCGACGCTACTGGCCTCGTCTTCGTCCGAGTCGTCTCCAAACACGTCAATAACCTGCGCATGTTCAGTCTCTGGAGCATCAGCAACTTCCGCAGCTTGCTTGGGCGGCTCTGCATGCTTTTGCAATCCTCCCACGTTAGCCGGTAACTGCTGGCTTGATTCAGGGGTATCGTTGGTGCGTTTCTTCCGAGGTTTCAATTTTCGTGTAGGACCTTTTAGGAGTCCTAGGAGAGCCTCTTTTTTCTGCGCGTCAGTCCATTCAGCGACTTCTCGCGTGCTTGGAACATCGCCATGTCCGGTCGTAGTCGCCACATCCTGCTGTTGCGAGCTCCGCCGGGCCGGTATCCGTACCTGCGGGTGACTCTTCCTCGATGCGCTCGATTCGCCAGTCGTCCGCCTTTGTTTCCTCGGAATCTTGGAGGGCTGTTCCTCGCTGTAATCCGACTCCGACTTCCGTTTCGACGTTCGTCGTGTACTGCTATTGTCCTCCTGCGCACCAGCAGGTTCTCCATCTAGGCTTGTACCAGTGGCATCGACCACGCCATTGTCGCGTGTGTGCGGGGCGGCTTTAGACGGGGTGTGTTCCGGCGGTGCGAGCTCTGGCGGCGATGAGCGTATCTCGGGTTCTGCTATTGCCAGATCCTCCACCCGCTCTTCTTCATCCACTTGCGGCCCAGCGTCATGGTGCACCGGGAGCTCTGACGAAGGCGCGGGGACGTCACTCCGCTCCTCGACTGCCTTCACAGTGGCCTGCACCTTCTTCTTGGCCGGCTTCCTTTTCTCCTTCCTCTTTCTATTGATCTTCAACGGTTTGTGATTGACTTTCTCTGGCAACGCGTATCGACCCTTCTCAGGGCTCAACTCAATCTCGTATGGGTCACCTCGTATCGCGAGATTCTGTCTGGCTCCTTCAGGAAGTATGCTGACTCGTTTGAGCTTTCCAGGACGCGCTGCGTTGAGGAGGTTGGCGCCGAGGACTGCGGACGATGAGGGTGGGTTGACGCTTGGAGAGTTGGACTCGGCGAGGAGCTGTTGGGTTGCAGCATTGTCGTCTGAGGAGGGCGTGGAAGGCTTTGGAGCTGTGGTATGAGTGTCAGCTTATATAAGCTTAGATGGAAGCTGGTGAGCACGTTGGAGAGCTTCGCGCGTCTACCCGCCAGCTCGACGGCAGCTGCGACACCACGTACCTGCCTGCTTGGGCGCATCCTTAAGCCGCGCCATATAGTGAGCGTTCACAATACTAACGTATCCGTGCTAATGGAGGTATCCGAGCGATGACGGCGATGTGGGGGGAGAGTGAAGTCATCCCCGCGGCCAAAAGCATCCAACGCTGTCAAGGCGCGAAAGAGTGGGTCCATCCCCGAAACACGCTATCACATGAGATCGTCCCTGCCCACTAACCCCCAAACAACCACCACACCACGCACCCCGCCATGTCATCAAATCCATCCAAAGCACCTGTACTAGAAGTACTGAGTAGAGATGCATCGCACAGTTTCCAAGTCCCTGCGAAACGCATCCACGATGGCGACGACGTCACTTTCTTCTTGGCAAGCAGGGCCTATGCCGATATCATGACTTTCATCTTCCAGCTCAACACGGCCATGATACCACGGAAGATCAAGAGCGAAGACAATAACAGCACAGAAACCGCGAAAGAGTGGAAGTTGCATGATCCGGATGTGCCCCATCCACCCGTTGTGCAGAGCCTCGCCAAGCTTATCGATACCCTTCAATCGATAATGGATGAAGCGCCACCAGATCCCGGACCGCGTCGTTTTGGAAACGTAAGCTTCAGGACGTGGTACGACATCGTCAGAGAAAGAGTTCCTGGGTTGTTAGACCAATATCTACCGGAAGAAGTACTCTCTTTCAAATCTTCCTCCGACGTGTCAGCCAAAACCGAACTGGAGGCCTATCTTATCGGCAGTTTTGGAAGCTCTCAGCGCCTAGACTACGGTTCAGGTCATGAACTGAGCTTTCTCGCTTTCCTTGGCTGTCTCTGGAAACTCGGAGCTTTTCCCGCGTCGCAGGATGGCGAGCAAGAACGCGGCATTGTACTTGGGGTCATCGAACCGTACCTCGAATTGATTCGCCGACTCATCTTGACATACACCCTTGAACCTGCCGGGTCGCATGGTGTATGGGGACTAGACGATCATTCTTTCGTACCTTACATATTCGGTAGCGCACAACTCTCACCGGCCATCAACACACCAGCAGACGTGGCAGCAGAAGGCTCATTGCCATCGGCTCCCCACCCAGGCGACGTAGCGAAGGCTCCCGCAGTCGCCCGCGAGCGAAACCGGAATATGTACTTCAGTGCTATCGGCTTCATCTACGACGTCAAGAAAGGTCCATTCTGGGAACATAGCAACATTCTCTACGATGTCTCCGGTGTCAAGGCAGGATGGGCCAAGATCAACAAGGTTAATATCATGACACTCTTGATTACGTGCATTGACTGACCCCACATCAGGGAATGATCAAGATGTACAATGCAGAAGTACTATCCAAGTTCCCTGTGGTTCAGCACTTCCCCTTCGGCTCGCTGTTCTCCTTCTCTGCCGATCCGAACGCCAAGGCCATTCAAGCAAGCGTCCACACAGCCAGTCAGCCAAAGTCAAGTACACCATCTAACACGGCACCAACTGCAAGACCGCAGCCTGCATTGAGAGACCCGATGGCTGAGCCGGCGACTGGCATGCCAATTAGAAGCATGCCTGGCGGTACGGCTGGCACCGCGGCGCCATGGGCTAGTGCTGGTGCTACAAGGCCGGGTGGTGGCATGCCAGCTGCGACTGCTGCGCCCTGGGCTACTGCCAGAGGTGCAGACGCAGGTGTACCCAGTGGTCCGAACCAGCCTACTAAAGCGCCTTGGGCAAGTAGGACACCTGCACCGCCGCCGCCAGGAAGTGGTACTGCAGCACCCTGGGCAAAGGGGAATGCTGGAAATGCGCCGAGTGTACAAGAGGGCACGAAGGCGCCTTGGGCGAGTAAGAGATGAGGTGCAATGGGCAATGAAGGTATGTAGAGGAATTATACACGTCTTGTCAACGATTATACCCGACCAAGGCTCGATTCCGTCTCGTCTAGCGATACAAAGCCATCAACACACATCTATCTAGCCAACGCCGCAAGCGCACAAGGAGTTAATGTTATGAACGTTCCTTGCTCCCTCCACCATCATTCTCCTTACTACCCCTCTCTCTACTACTCCTCTCCTTACTACCCTTCTCAGCTCCATCCCCTCCACGCTTCTCCCTTTCCTCGTAACCGTCTCCATTCCCATCCCCATCCCCATCCTTCCCTTCATCCCCTTCCCCCTCCCCTTCCTTCCCATCACCATCTCCATCCCCACCCCCCTTCCCCTCCTCCCTCTCCCTCCTATTATCCAAATCAAACTGCAGCCTCGTCCGATTCAACATGAGCTCCGCCACCCTCTCTCTCTGCACATACACAGTGACCGCAAGATCAAACAACGCCATTTCCTGCTCTTGTGTGTATTCGCCTTCGGCCACACCGAGACTCTCGTGGGGTTCGGGGATTTCATCCGCGCCGAAGAAGGAGTCGGAGGGGGAGGGAGGGGAAGGTGGTGGATGAGCCGGGGGATCTGAACGGGGACGTTTGGAGGGTTTGGAGGGTTTGGAGGGTTTGGAGGGATGAGGGCTGCGGCTGCGGCTGCGGTTGCGGCGTTTCTTGTGGTGACGGTCTTGACTGGGGCGACGATCTCGACTATGACGACGGTCTCGACTACGCCGGCGATCTTTCCCACGGCCATGTGAAGAGCCGCAACTCCGCTGTTTACTTCGCTTTCGCTCTGGACTTCTTTCCCGCCCTCGACTTCGCTGCCGTTCTGCGCCACGGCTCCGCTCTCGACTCTTCCTCACCCCTCTACTCCTCACCCCCTCCTCCCTCCTGACCTGCCCAGAAGGTGGTGGACTCTTTTCGCGCGGCCGTTGCGATACCGGTGGGGGCCGTCGCGATGAAGCGCGATCGAGCCTTGCAGAGCGTCCCCGTGGCTTTTCTACACGATCTCCTTCTCCTCGGTACCTATCATCCCTTTTCACCAGCGACCTCGACTGACTCCTACTCCGACTGCGACTCCCATCCCCCGATCTCGGAGAAACATCACAACTCCCCCCCATCCCCATCGTCCGGTGTCTCCTCGCCATCCTCTCCAACTCCCCACTATCAAGAGCCCCCCTTCTCCTTCTCTCTTCAGACCTTGTGGTACGGCGGGCCGGCTGGTAGTGGTCACAGTCTTTCCCATACCGTTTCTCTGCACCATCCTGTCCCAGCCCCCGTCGTGCACCAGGACCCCTTGGCCCTTCACTCAAGGATATGCTTGAGAGAAGAGAGAGTGCGTCGTCGTCTTGATGTTCGGAGTAATAGCCTGATCCTGAGCGGAACTCGCGGTCTAGTGCGTGCAGGCCTGAACTGAAGGATATGGGGTTGGCTCTTGTGCCTGGTGTTGGTGTCGGTGTTGGTGTGTCGCGATGTGCGCCAGCCATTCTTTCTCGGTGGTAAGCGAAAGGGTCTTGACGGGGCTTCGATGTATTTTCTCTGGGTGGTACCATTGCATCTCGGCGTTCTTTGGACGGCGTGTCTCTTGGGAGTGGAGGTGCGTCGCGCAATGACTTTGATACCACTGGTTTCCCAGTCACCATCGATAGTGGCACAGTCTCTGCATGGCGGGTCGAGCGAGGCGGAATGTCAGTTGGATTCGATGGCGTTGTAGTTGCGATACGCGCTTTTACTTCTTCAATCTCTTTCTTGTTGGCCATGGTGAAGTGCTTGGTTAGTATCGCTGGGTCTAGTTCTCTTGGTCTGCGCTCTTTGGAACGCCTTGTTTCATCGTTTTCATCTACCCTAGAGCGTTTTATGAGAGGCTCTCCGAGGATTTCACCGCCCCCGAACGGTCTTTTTCCGGTTTTCGACGGTGGTAGGGGTTGTGCACCGGTTGATAGTAGCTTATCCACTAGCATGTCTGTTGTAGGAGTAACACGAAGAAAACCGTTGTTCTCCTGGTGCGAAAACCCGGCGTTTGGCGATTGTTCGTCTGCCATGGCTTTTATAGGATGAGGCTACTGATAATCACTATACAAAAAGGTGAGGCGCGCAATATAATGAGTGAGCTCTTGCGATGAAGAAGATGCTCGCTCACTTTGCTATGTATGTTGACGTCTTTGTTTACTCTGCACCTTTAGCAGACAATCGTTCGCCTGCTTTGCGCCTTTCACTCATCGACTATCATGCTGGGGACAACAAAGACTCGATTAGAGTCAAAGCGCCCGGACAATCAGCGCTTTAGCACAAAGCCGTTCACCAGTGCTATCCCGAATGCATGGCACCTGAAACAAGGAAAAAACCGAAGAGGTCTGCGGACTACATTAAGATAAACCCAACGTCGATGTAGGCTCTACGGTATTCAGGCTTTTCTTAGGTTAGCTTGATGGTACGCTTCTGTGAAGATGCGAACGGGCTCATGGACCATGATCGAAGACTATCGAACCCAATAGTCTTGGTACGCGATGAGGAAAGCTAACAGCAACACTGGCGTTCATGTCAGCGAAAGCCCAGCGGCTTCTCAATAGAATCTTCTCACCTAGAAGAGCGATGATTGTCGCGATACCCAATGCATGAAGAGAGCGGGTTTTGGTGGCCTTGGGTTGGGGTGGATCGACGTCTGCTTTGGTTTCGATGGGCAGACAAGACGCTGTTACGCCGCTTTCGCTTCGAATCTCGGCTGCACTGTCGATTCTCTGAAGCCGCCTGGACGCTTCGTCGGAAGCTGGAGTGCCATCGGACGAGCTTTTCTCGGAGGTCTCCTTGGCCGTGACGACCAGGTCCGCGGGTTGTTCTTTGCTGTCCATTGCCCTACGCTCCTGTTCTAGCAATCCAAGAATTTCTTGCTCGTTCTCGAGATGCCATAATTTTACTAGCTCCTTCATTGAGACGCGGCTTCTGAATCCTCTGTTAATAGTATAGCAAGTAGTTCCAGGTTCAAAATGCGTGAATAGCATCTCCGCTACCGTCTTGTCTTGTACTTTTACGTACATATGTGTAAATTCCCATCCTCCGACCTCCTGCTGTCCACCTTTAGAGATTTGCGTTCTATGGACAACGTTCCTCTCGTACTTATCCAAAAATAGGACGATGAGCTGACCTATAGTACGGGACCACAAGGGATCATTGTGGCGTAGGGATCTAGAACAAAGTTGGACAAAATTGCCCCACAGGAAGCGTGTAACGGGAGATGCGCGTTCAGTCAAGAATTTTCCAAAGCAGGCCACGATTCCCTCAAGCTCTTCAGCTTTCTCGGTCATGTCCAACCTGCGCATCAAACAGTGTGAAACGATGCCACGTGTCTGATCAGATAGTGGTGGTTCGTCAAGTCTTGTAACCCGCCAAAGAATATATGAAGTGTTACCTAGCCAGGCCAAGATAGAAGCTGGAGCTTTGGGTCGGATGGGACTTATACTGCTCGCCGGTTCTTCAATGTCTGTTTCTTTAATCCACAAAACACAGTGATCGCATGCTCTCTGAACGCATTGCTCGGCGGAAGGTAGCTCGTTCTCCAGCCAACCCGGAAATTTTCGTGAGATTAAATGCTCCAGTTGCACAAGGAAGTCGAACTGCGACCTATCTTTTCCAGAGTGGAACCGTAGCTCGATGATTTTACCGTATAGATATGGCCAGTACAGCGGGTCGATAAGAGAAGAAGGTATGCGTTGGAATTCTGCCAAATGCGACTGGGAGATCGCTTCAATCGCATCGAACGCGCCCAATTGGTGCGTCACGGGTTCTAGGGTTCTTGATTCTTCAAGAAATTCGATGACGGTGCGATGTACAAACAGGATACATCTCGATCCGGCGGGTTTAGAAGGGTCGGGTTCAGGTCTGGAGCGCTCAAAACCCCCTTCTTGCTTGCAGACTTCAGGGTTGCCTCGATCCTCGACAAGTCCTCTACAATACCCTTGTAGTTGTCTCCGAGCTTGTTTTTCATGCGCTTTGTACCATTCGTGTGGGTCTTGTCCGTCTTGGTAGTCCAGGACAGGCAATATATCAGGTTCCTCCGTGGATGATCGTGCGTTCATTTCATTTGCATCGAGGTGTAGACAAGACAGCAGCGATAGTTTGAACGGCAATGTCTCGTGTTGCAGCACCATAGAAAAGATTCGACGCGCTCTTTCCATGCGAAATGGGGAGATAGAGCCAAGAAGATGATTGAACAGCTTCTTCAACTCACTAGGCAGTGTGGCCAACTCCCTCTCAAAAACAGAGGCAGCATCGCCGTCCTCCAACGCTTGTCGGAGCTGTTTGATGACAAGTACAACCCAGAGGAAGATGCCATCTGATTTCTTGACAATTTCACTTGTAAGACGTTCTCGGGTGTTGTGGTCTTGCACGGATTCGAGCCTAGAACGTACGAAACACTCCATATCGTGCCTCGTGAGATCCTGCAATCGTATCCTTCGATCTTTAGCAAAAGCGTTCTCAAACACATTCTCTTCCCGGCTGGATACACATAGCTTGATGGAGTTTGGAGAGATCTGTGTCCACTTGCGAAGTTCGTCGACCATGTGTTTGTGATCATATTGGGGTATGTCCTCGTGCTCATCCAAAGCGTCGATGAAGAAACAGAATCGATATGATTGCTGAACGGTTTCATCCCTAAGGAGGGCCATGAAGCCATCGTGAATTTCATCCGAGGAGAGGCTATGTGGTAGCTCCATCCGACCGTCTTTGATGCTCATCCTTTGTTCCCAGATCCCTGGGAATGCATTCTTCGTCAACTCCCGATGGGATAACAGCAGTTGATAAAGTAGCGATCTCTCCAATCCGTTGAGTGACTTTTGTAAATGCAGCTTCGCGGGTTTCCAGAAGAAGTGGCTTGCCATCACCAGCTTTTTATCATCTGTGGTCGTCAATGGACACGTTACACATCAGGGGAAGAACAACGAACCTGCCCACGCCAACAGCCGTTTACGTGTTTCCGGATGCTTGTACAGGAATTTCGTGAGTGTGGATTTGCCCGACCCCAGCTTTCCCGCGATATGGAAGATTCCACAAGCATGATGTAGCCATGAAAGGTATAGTTCGCGAGCGTTAGTCTTCAATGTAACGTCGTCGACGTCTGCATCTTGCTCCACAATCCATCGAAAGGTTTCGCTGTGCTCTTTCGCGATGACATCAACTCTGGCCTCCATTCCTTCAAACGCAAGATCATTGAGGAAACTCCGAGCTACGACTGATTCTTGAGCTACTTCAGTCAATCCAAGTAGCTCTTTCAACTGATCTAGGGCTTCAACACCCAAGGAAGCAACACATGTGCCGCGGCGAATACGCTCGATCTGTTGCGGTAACGTTTGCAAGATTGCTTGGTTTGATTGCGCAAGATTTCCGAGGGCCTGGAGCTGCGCATGTACTTCCGAACTATTCCCGTGTCAGAGAAAGGGCCAAGAGCGAATTTCTGACATTGACTAACCTGTTCAACTTGCTGAATTGCAGATGCAGCTGGCTACGGCATCTAGCTAGTTTGTTCTCAAGTTCTCTTTTGTCGTCCTTGTACTTGATATTCTTGAACGCAGATCGCATATAACGAAGGGTTGAGTTCGGCTTGCTAGGGGCAATTTTCCTTAAGAGGCGGAGAATCTGATCTGACAGCTCACGGCACTCTTGAGCCAACAGACGGAGGTCTTCTTCATCTTGGGTGCGTGCGTGCGTTTTGGGGGGCTCCAGCCTCGAAGTTAGATCGCGCATCTGAATGGTGACTTCCTCCAGGCTCTTATTCTCCAACGTCATGCCGCTAACAGAGTTGCGCATTTCCTTCGCAGAGCCGACAAGCTTCGCGCCGAGGTCGACAAACTGAATGACATTGGCGATCAAGCCGATAGCTGTTAGGGCTTCCATGATGGATGCTGCGCGAAGGCCGAGATGGCACGTCGTGCGTGAATTCGAAAATACTTGAGATGGGAGACGGAAGGCGCGCAAAACAACCCTTCATTGTACCACCCATGGCGAAGCTGTGCCGCAATCATGCAGACACCCAATATGAGCGCGCCGATCAGCGCTGTCGTCCAATCTATGCACGGTAATGGAGGTTGTGTGCGAGAAACCTGTATGGTGACGCATACGAAAAGTGAGTGGAGTGGACAGGGTGGAAAGTGAGTGGACAGTGAGTGCGGGCTGCACATAGAACGGGAAGGTACCACCCACTACACTGCACCTTTGTCGAAGGAAACAGCCGGACACCCACTACGACCCTGGTGACGATAAGAAGGGTAAGTAACTTAGATGTCTACGTTATCCTAGGAACCTTCTTGGCCTTCGTTGCTGTGGCCAATGTAGTCTGCAGCGCACCTGTTTAGTCCCTTCCTTGCGTAAGTGCTCGCGTGGGGTCGCAACATCACTGTGCTCTTCTGCCTGCGAAGTGCCGTGAAACATCACCAGGGCCATTCAGGGATGACCACTTATCGACTGAAAGACATGAGGAAAAGTCCCTCTGGTTCGTTATGGCCGTTCCTTGCGCATGTACATGATCTACACGATCTACACGTCTCCAGATGCCTCACACATGGTATCTTCCTGAGCATGGTCTCCTCGTGTGCATTATCTCCTCCTGAGCACGATCAGGTAGCCGGCGGCGTAACCAGCCCATCGCACTCCTTCGCTTCCACCTGGGTATCATCCTCCTTCTCTATCCGTCTCGACTTCGCACCGATCGCACCGCCAGGGTGATTCGTTCTAAACACCGCTTTCGTCTCGTCTTGATGTAGCGCCTCCGCGACGGTCAACGCCAACATATCTCCCACCGCAATGGTGACAGTGGTGCTGGTAGTCGGCGCGCAGACACCAAACGAAACCTCCTCCAACTCATGTATGGGCGCAGGCAGCAGTATGGAGTTCGGCCGGTCGTCAAGGATCGGGCAGTCTGAGGGCTTCGTATGGGATGTGATGGCGAGGATGGGCGTGTGGGAAGGTATGTGCTCGAGGAGGGCCATGAGCTCTGCTGTCTTGCCGGAGTAGGATATGAACATTATTGCGTCGTTCTACTTCTAGTCAGTACATTTCTCATCTTTAGGGCTTTGGGATGAAACCCACCTTCCTGATGTCACCGAGATCCCCATGCAGTGCCTCAGCAGCGTGCATGAAGGAGCTCGCTATGCCCAGACTCTTCATCGTCGCGACCATCTTGCGCCCCACCAGGCCGCTCTTGCCCACTCCGCATATTATGAGTTTACCGCCAGTCTGGCTGGTCTTCGTAATGACTTCGACAGCCTGTAGGAGACCATCGCGCGCCACATGGTCGGACTCATATAGAAAAGTGACCTGCGAGAGCGCGGTGGCAGCAGTCGAAAGAACGTGGACGGCGCGCGAGAGCAGACGCGATCCTTCAGAGTCGCTTGCGGCTAACGGCGGGGTAAGAGGTTGAGTTTCAGAACCCGCTCGTTTTCTCTTCAGTGATGCTGGCGGGGACGATGTGCGTGATAGTGGAGAGGTCTCAAATGTCGCGGTCATGTTGGTGTGAAATGTGGAAGATCGGCGGGCGTGACGTGAACGCAGGGTCAACTGCTGCTGTATATCAACAAGGCCCTGGCGATCTATGCGACAGGTCTACACATGCGCGATCTAGATTAGTCTTCCTCGGGCAGCATCGGAGGCGGATCCCAGTTTAGTAGGCGTAATACACTTATCGATGTAGCAGCGCGACGCGACACAACCACCAGACGGAGTTGCAACAAGCCCTGGAGGGCCTGACAGCCCCTCCATGATGACAATTCGTCGCATGCCGGCTCGAAACAGGCTTCAGGCCTCGTCCGCTTACTCGGAAGATACCAGAAGGCCGAGGGCGCGAGCCAGACCAGTAGTCTATGGTGATAAAGAAAAATGGATGGCGATATCTACGCTAGAGATGACATGCATGCAGCATGGGCCCGCGACTAGGCCGGAAGCAAAGATAGCCGTTGTCATCAGTCGAGACCAACCATCAAACCACGTTTCTGTCACTGTAGCGTCTGATCGCGAGGAATAGTCGTCCATGTTTAAGGTAGGGAACTGCATACGTGCGTAGACGGCAAACCGCTAGGTCCCGCTATGCTGAGGGCGGAGCGCCCGCTGCTTCGGTGAGTTTTGCCCGCCGAGCCCCCATACAAACCAGCCCCTCCTCCACCCCGTCAAGCTTTGTCATGCCCAATTCCTTCCTGTAGAGCGCTTGCGCTTGCTCGCCGCCGGTCAAGAGGACCATCCACCGGAGGTTTTCCATTCCGGCGCAGATCTCGCGACAGCATGCGATGAGCCATTTGCCGAGTCCTTGGCCCTGGTGTTCGGGGATGAGGTAGACGTCTGTGAGGTAGGCGAGCGTCGTGTAGTCGGTAATGAAGCGCGCCATCCCAATAGGCTTCTTGACGCCGTCCGAGACAGAGTATACACCGAGAGTGAGGCTGTTGTCAAGCATGGTCGACAAGTCCGTGAAAGAGAGCGGTTTCGCCCAAAACATTGCGTCCGTCGCGTAGGCTTCCTGGACGAAGGTGTATGGAAGCAGCGAGCGGTCGGAGGATATGAGGTAGGTGCCTGAATCGACAGTGCGCTCCCATTGGAAGATTTTTGAATCCATCTTGTGCTTGGATTGATAATTCAGAGTGTGTGGTTGCAGATGTTGGCGAGCAGCTTCCCAATATACCTTCTGAGTCAACAGGTCCTATGTTCGGAGATATTCGCGACCCCTCGCGCCCTAGACGCCGACACCACCACCACCCAACCACCGTGCGACAACGCGACTTCACCTCCACCTTCAGTGCTGGACCTGGAACATATGGCATTCGCAAATGGGTGCCGCGATGCAGAAGCGAGGAGGTAGTCACCGCGACTGCCTTTTCCAAATGGCGGCACTTATGTGAGGAAGGTGCATACATACGCGTACACCGTTGCGATTATTATAACAAGTAGTTGATTGCACGCTACATATAGCATACGCCCGTTCAATCGCGCTTACCCAGTCACTTGCAGTAAGCTGCGAAGGTGTTTACTCCCAGTCGCATTATGACCACCTGCAGTCACGTGTCGATCACGCCCCTGTTCTTGGTCAGTAAAGCTCTTCAATACCAGCGGATCTACCCACAATCACGGCCTTCGCAATGCGCCATCAGCGTGTCTTTCCAAATTTCTCGGTCCAGAGTAGCGGTGGTGACGCGGAAATTTTCATACCCATCCAGCGCCCCATACAACTCATAGCCAGCCTCGATCAGCTGCCGCATCAGAGGAAATAGCGCGCTCACGCGTTCGGAGAGGAGGCTCATGGTGAATTCCTCGTCATACGTGTATTCACCTGGGCCATAAATGTAATCTACTCGCAGGTGGAAAACGATCGATGCGCCAGGCGCGAGCTTGAAGAGACACTGCTGGAGCGGAGTGACATTATCTTCGTATTCTGTTCCGCACAACTCGACTTCGAGATGGCGCAATAGACGATCGCTTCCCAGACCGAGACCCCAGATATCAGTCTCGAAGAACTCAGCGACCTCCGTAGGTGTGAGATATAGCCACAATTTGGTATGATAATACCAGCGACGTGCAAACTCGCTCATAGTGTCCAAATCGACAAATTTCTCGCTACACATATGCGCGTATCCGTATCCGCGTTCCTCGGCATAACCCGCAACAATGTCCCGATATGGCTCGTCGACGTCTTCGAAGTATTCGTTGTTGATGAAAATCGGTTCATCTCGAGCAGGGGAGAGTATGTGGTCGTATATCATGTCCCTGAGCTCGCGGGGGAGCTTACTTTGCATGGCGGTACACAATGCCCGACATTCCTGCTGCGCGTAATGTTCGATGTGGGCATCGGCGAAGTCTTCGGTTTCTGCCAGCTCACGATCCAGATTTGCGATTTGGGACGCCGTGAGTAGTGGGCTGTTCTTGTTCAGAACATGGTCGATAAGTGCGCAATACCTGAGTGTGCTGGTCCTCATATTAGTACTGAACAACCACTCCATCAATGACCCAGGTGTCTACATTGCCTTCAGGGTTATCGCGACTTTCATTTTTGTCCCCATGTATGCTGCAGCTCGCCTGTTCAGATTCTTGTATGAGGCTTTTGAGATGACTTACATGTACACGTTTTCACGAGTCAAATCGACTGTGTAAGCCATGTTGCTTTCGCTTTTGGGGGGCTTAGATGATGGGGTTGAAGTTCTAAGAGATTTGGTTGGGTTGAATCAGGTCTGCAGGCTACATTAAGCTAAAACCTTGCAAAGTAGGTAACCTAACGTTGACGTAGGCTCTGGGCTGTTTGGGCCTTTTCTAGGTTGGCGTGACTAACCTGTAATCCACATATTTCACTCCGTAGGTTGAGTCTCTGGTCCGTGGGTTCTTTCCCTTCACATGCACTTTGGATGACTGATCACAACGCCGCGTTGGGAAAAGCACCACTCCTCGGTCCCTCCAGTCTCAACTACCCGCCCAGACCTTTCTTCAACCACCCTCTCGACTCACTAGTCATCCAGTCACCATCATGGAGGTGCGCACTCCGCCCGCTGTAGGATTCTTTCTCGACCATGAATACGTTTCCCAGTAAGTTCCATCTGGGGTGCACAAAGCTAGCAGCTGCTAATGGTCCCAGTATCCTCAGGCATATCCGTATCCTGAAGCACATCGAAGCACCCGACCGAGCTAAGCTCAATCGCACAAGGCCTCATCAAAGGCGTAGTAATCTTACAGCAAAGACCCGACAACGATTCCAGAATCTCAAGCAAAAGCTGGCCAAAATCACAGCAAAACTAGACCGGCTCGAGAACGTTCTCCAGCAGTACTTGGAGGATTTCACGGCTTACCGTCAGCGAATCGTTCTGGAACTACTACAGACGGAGTTTGCCCGGGAACTTCGCGATGAGGTATACGGCTATATGATAAGCGGCGACCAGTTGGCGATCAGTATCAATCATCACGATCTGGTGGCGTCTGCCTCGCCAGCATTCGCCATCCCAGGTCACACGAGCGCAAGTCGTTCCAAGCACTTCCAGACGTCACTCACACGTGGTGGTTATGGCCACTTACTCGAAGCGCGGGCAATACTCAAGGACACGATGCTGGAGCTAGCTCATGCATGGTATAGGCTCTCCACGTTTCGCTTCATGCAAGCCATCCACGTCGATCTATTTCTCAGAACCGACTTTCATGGCTTCGGCCTCGATACGCCGAAGCTGATCCGGAGTGTCGAGGGTAAAGTAGCTGCCACGAATAGCTGTTAAGTTGTTTTGCTAACTTCTTACTAGTATGTGTTCTCCTTGCAATCGGATCATCACGAGACAAGCGCGCAAACAAGAAGATGTATTCTCCTTGCCACGCTTTAGCTGAGGCAATTTAAAGACATCTTAGTATCTGTGCTAACAGCTTGATAGCTATTCACCCCTGTCAACTCGTCAGGCGACTGCGACAAACTAGCTAAAGACTTGGCCGAACTCCACACGCTCAAGACTGGTGCCAACGTTCTGCTCAGCTTCCAGGCTATACCGACAGACGCAGTGTTCAGGGCAATGGCAGACCCCAGCGCAGCAGTCCCGCCTCGGGATCTCGCACTTCTCTTTCCAGGCATTCAGAACTTGATTGCAGCCGAATACCGTGTCACGGTGAAGCTGGGCTACCACTTGAAGTTCAAGGTTGTAAGCGAGGAGCTGACGGAAGAGTGTTGGAAGGAGAAAATCGAGGATAATGACAAAGTAAGTCACATGGTGTGGGGACAGACAATCGCTAAATTCGTCCCAGGCCATACTTGCGAAACGCGCTCTCCGTGAATGAGCGGCCAGTGATGAATCTGATTCGTCTGACGAGTCTGTTGAGTCTGCATTGCAGACTACAGAGTGATGGAAGAGGGAATCGTGCGAGGTCATAGCCTGCGTTGAAGACGTCAGGATGATGGAAAAGGAAGAAGGGCAAGGTCATAGCTTGTGCTGGGGATGACATGGTATAGGAGGGTGTACACACTGATCTTTTAGACAACGGCGAGAAGCGTCCAGAGTCTAAAGAATGAACTTCTTCAAAAGATTGGCGAGCTTCTCCGGCTGTTCAAGTGCCAAGCTATGCCCGCATTCCTCGAACACCTCGGAAATATGCACCTTCTCCGCCGCAGACTCCATCTGCTCCTTGACCAGCGGGCCAAAGAACCTAAACACGTCAGCATCAAGCCACATCAACACATCTCTTTATCGTAAAACTTACTCCGGCGCCCCCACAGTCATAACACAACACCTCAACTTCTCCCCAGTCAAAATCTCCTCCTCAACATCCACATTAACCCAATGCGCCCTATAACTCTCCAGCACACCCCTCAACCCACCCGGCGCCTTCAAACACCCCACCCACTCATTCACAGCCACCTGATCCAGCGCACTAGGATTATAACACTCAGCCTTCATAAAATGCGTCCAAAACTCTTCTTCCTTCCCCTGAATCAACATCTCAGGCACATGCGGCAGCCAAAAGAAAGGGATATGCCAGTTCCACACGCCGGCCTGGTTATACTGCGCTGCGATATTTTTGCGCGTGAAGAAGGTTTGTTTGGTAAGCGCGTAAGAGAGCAGCATTTCGCAGAAGGAGAGGTGGGTTACGCGTTCGGGATACAGGCCCGCGAGGCAGAAGGCATATGTTGCGCCGCGGTCTTCGCCGTGGACGGAGAATTTCTCGTACCCGAGTTGGGTCATGAGCTCCGCCATGTCTTTGGCGTTGGTGCGCCCATCGTAGCCTTCGCTTGCGGGGGGCTTGTCTGTTGCGCCGAAGCCGCGGAGGTCGGGGGCGATGATTGTGAACTTTTTGGTTAGAAGAGGGGCGATGCGGTACCAGTAGTAGTGTGTTTTGGGTGTGCCGTGGAGGAGGAGTAGGGGTGGGCCGGATCCCGATTTGATGTAGTGGAGGCGGATGCCGTTCACACGTGCCATGTGGTGGTGGACGGGCTTGCCATCGTGGTCATGTATTTCAGGCATCGCGGAAAGGCTGCAGTTATTCTGGATACGTTCCTATCGGGCCTGTTGGTCTTGTACCACGTTCGGTTGTTCTAGCAGTATGGTGGTGGTTCTACCCCACATCCAACGTCATGGTTCACGGATGTGTTGCGCGGAGTCATTTCCGCACTATAAACAAAAGCAAATCCATTGGCACTCCACCTTCAGAGTTTTGCATCGTACGATGATTTGGATGTAAGACTTCGATAGGTAAAAACCCCGCCATATTGAACAATCACATCCTGTTCTCACGCGGAAGGTCAATGGAGTTTGAGTCGTAATGACTGTGAAGATTTCGCATTGTCAACACAGCTTGGTGTACTGTCTTTTAGTTTCTATCTCTTTCTTGCAGATGTTCCACCTCATGAGTCCGGAATGGCAGCAATAGCCTCGACTTCAATCAAAAAGTTGCCCGGTAGCTTGCCAACCTCAACAGCCGTGCGGGCTGGCTTGGGAGTGGGCAGCATCGCAGCATACACCTCGTTCATCGCGCTGTAATCCGACATGTTGGCAAGGAAGACGGTGGTCTTCATGACGTAGTCCCATGATGTACCGGCTTCTTCGAGGATGACTGCAATGTTCTTGATGACTTGGGCCTGAACTAAGTGAGTATGGATTCATGATGAGGCAGAAATTGGCTCGTGTACCGTTTGAGCTTCAATGCCGCCTGCTACAATCGATCCATTGAACGAAGGGACGGTTCCTGAGGTGTAGACTATGCCCTTTGATGTCCATGCACCGCTCGCTTGACAGTAATTAGCACGTAGTCATCAGACATCGGCTGGTAGCATACAGAGAATGGGTCCTTGTGTACCAAGATAGGTCACAACCGGTTGCTCAGCGAGCTTTGGTGTTGGCTTGGCAATTACGGCACCAGTAACGGCGAGGAAAGTAGTGACAATGGAGGTGAAAGAGACCATGATGGATGAATTACAGCGATTGAGTTCTGCGAGGTTATGATTGTAGAGACACGAGTATAATGATATGAGTACTTCGATATCGTTGGTCCTATACAGTCTTATAAGAGTTGGCAATGCTCGCGGATCATCATCTCCCGACTCTTTCGTGTCCGGTCAACTCTGACCGCCCGCATTGTACCGAATGCCATGGCTTCCAAGAGCTGCGAGTGTCCATGTACCAGGTAAAGCTCGTTGCCAATGTTACTCCGACATGCAGCCAGTATTGTTGGATTCCAGCCACGGCTGAGGATCCGCGATACAGTCAGACCCGTTTGTAATGGTTAACGGTCCGCCGCCGGCTCCAAGGTACCGGAATGTCCACCAGGAACTGTACTACCTGCACTACACTCAGGTTGGCAGGGCCTCGCGCAACCGTTTCGGCGCCATCGTGGGGTTCAAAATCGCGTAGATATCCAGCACGCACTAGAAAAGGAAGGAGGATAGCACTTGTGGCGAGGTGGAGCAGAGGTCAGCTAAGCTATCGCGAGAAGGGCCGTCGAAGATGTAGTTCGCCTGGGCGCCGAGATATCTCTGCATTTGTATCCTGCGTTTAACGCGCACTGTGAAGCGCGCATTCGTCCTGACGTAACGTGAGATAAAGGCTGCAGGGTGTTGAGATAAGAGTCGGGGTTTAGGCCAGCCGTTGCGCGTTATCGCAATCGTGGCTCCACCTGGGGTATCCATGGCTTGCCGCTCATTTGCCGAGAGGATCTAGACCCCTGTCTGAACTTCCCTCCGTGAAGGACAAGCCTTTCCCTGCGGAGTTTTGACATTGTTCCCGGACGAAGTTCTATACCACGTTTTTGGCATATCTTGTGTCCGACTCATGCTGGTAGCTCAGCCCCACATGCACGCGTTCAGTGCGTTGTAGGGTCGCGCTGGACGAACATGCACATCATCGCACGCACCTCGCTTCTGTGTCACCTTCGCAATAACGCAGTCGATGGGGTGTGTAGCCTTCATCTTGAGGTATGTTTTGTGAGAGTAGTGTCCTTCGTCTTGTTCGAACGACCTGGCGGTCCATGATGTCTGGCGTCGAGGGAAACCGCATTGGTTGGTTCAAGGTAGCATCGTGAAGTTGCATACCAGCGCTGGTATCAGAGCCGAGATCGCTCGGAATGACGGTCGTAGCTAAGCCGAGACTCCTGTCTTATCCGATGTGGGTTATCTTTTCGCTGGTAGGAACCTCAGTCCACAATGCCATCTCTTCTGTAAGCTGAGTCTCCACACTATCACCCGTACTGCATTGCGCTACTGCACCTCGCTTCGAGGGTATACTGCGGGTCAACTGTAACAGGCATTTGGGCGTGTCGCGTACCCCATCTTACTTACGAAAAGTCTTGTAGAAGTCGCGCATGGCGACGCCCTGTAGTCCTTATCGCGGCCGAATGCGTAGAACTTTTGTTAGGCCAACGGCAAACGGTCCGTCCCAACGACAACTTCCGATGATCATGGCCACGCCCTACGACGATAAGACTTGGTGACCAACGGGAATGCGAAAGAAGGTGTAAGCTTCTGCAGTACTGCCCGCTGCGGTCGTGCATGTAGATCTGTATATGAGCAGGGCATCTTTCCCTTCATCTCGCACTCCTCATCACATCCATCTCTTCTTTACACCACAATGAAGGGTCTTTTCACAGCCTCTTCGGCTGCCCTTTCTTTGGCTGGTGGTGCTATTGCCAGCCCAGTTGCTCCTCGATCGGAGGTTGTCTTCTTCAAGCCTCTGGCTGTCACATCCAACTCGGTACACAACGTCCATGTCGGCTATGGAGACGATGACTTCGAGGGCGAGATTCGTCTGGTGTATGGCGAATGCGGCATGAAGAGCCACGCCGACGGTCACCACGACGTGGCATCCCACTACATCAAGCGATCAAGTCGTCCCGAGCGGTTCGTCTGGATCGTACCGGATGATGCTGTCCACGGCGGATGCCTTCACGCATACTCAGGCTCTAACCTGATTGGCCGCTCAGCGCCCATCTCGATCCAACATCCACCAAGGAAACGAGAGGAGATCTCCGACGTGGCTGATGCCATGGGTCCTTGGTTTGACGGTGTAGCCTACATGGAGGCGAAGCAAAACAACGCATCGTACGCCGCAGTCGAGAAGAGCAAAAAGATCGCCATTGTCGGTGGAGGCATGTCGGGGTTGATGACCAGTCTTCTCCTCGACTCCGTAGGCATCCACGATTGGCATATCCATGAGTCCTCGCAGCGCATCGGTGGCCGTATCCGGACGAAGTACCTCGCAGGCAGCACACCCGAGCAATACCAGTACCAGGAGATGGGGCCTATGCGATTCCCTGTTTCGATCACCTACCCGGACCAGAACGAAACACTGGAAATCAATGACCACAAGATGGTTTTCCAGCTCGGAGACGTCCTGAACCAGATGAACGGAGGCAACACCAGCGATCTTGCCGTCAACTTCATCAACTGGATCCAATCAAGCCCAAACCTGCCCGCTAACTCGAATGGGTACCGTCTGCCAAACGGCCGTATCCCCAGCGCAGCGCAGATCAAGAGCAACGCAACAGCCTACACATTGCCAGCAGCTGAGGGCCCTGATGAGGAGGCCGTGGAGAAGGCGGAGGAGGCATACGAAGAATTCGTCGGCTACACACCGGAGGTCGAGCGGGAAATCGCAACCAATGTTTTCAAGGCCCACAAGAATGCCGTCGACAAGGGTCTCTTCCATTGGTCTGAGGCTGCGTATATCAAGTACGCACTGAACGCCAGCGATGATGTTGTGGACTACATCACTGGCAACGCCGATGCTCCGATCTGGGAGTACGACACTGTATACTTCAAAGCAACAGATTGGCGAACAATTGACAAGGGTCTGGAGTCATTGCCTCGTGCATTCTACCCCCACGTCCAGGACCGTTTGACTTTAGGGCGCAAGGTAACCGGCCTGAAGCACGATGAGAGCACCGGCAAGATCGCTGTCCAGTGGCGTCAAGATCCTTTCGCCATGGAGCCGGAGAGTGAAGAATACGACTACGCAGTCGTCGCAGTGCCCTTCTCCAAGGTCAGGCTCTGGGATCTCCCCCAGTACTCCTCGCTTCTGTCGCGCGCCATCAGCGAGATGAATTACCAGCAGTCCTGCAAGGTCTCTCTGCACTACAAGACTCGTTTCTGGGAACACCTCCCAGAGCCCATCATCGGTGGCTGCGGCTCAGTCGACATCGCAGGTATCGGCAGCGTTTGCTACCCCGCGTACAAGGTCAACTCAACTGGGCCCGGTGTCATCCTCGGATCGTACATCTCTGGTACCCTTGCGCGCTCAGTGGGTGCGCTCAGCGAAGAAGACCACGTAGCATTGGTCCAGCGGGCGATGGTGGAGATTCATGGCGATGTGGCTTCCGAGCAGTGGACTGGTGCATATGAGCGACAGTGCTGGGAGACCGACGAGCACCAAGCCGGTGCTTGGGCCTCCCCATTCGTTGGCCAGCAAGACCTGTTCCTGCCCGCCTACTACAAGACCGAAGCCCAAACCATCTTCATTGGTGAGCACACCAGCTACACACACGCCTGGATCTTCTCAGCACTTGACTCCGCCGTGCGCGGCACTTCGCAACTGCTGCTGGACATGGGTCTGGTCGACGAGGCGAAGCAAATCGTGGATACCTGGATGGGAAGGTGGATCTCCATCTAGATGGCTCAATAGAAGAAAGTAAAAGCTAGATAAACAGCAATGAATAATGTCTGATCAATATGATAATGAACTGCAATGGTGGTGAAGTAAGGTCGTGAGAATTATTGAAAGACGCGTGGTGCAGGCGCGATGGGGTGCGACTCCCCTGCGATGGCGTCATCGCCCCTGAAAGTTTAAGACCGAGGCTTTCACATGCACGCCTCCAGCCATCCATCAACATCCTCGCAGAGCTCTCTTTGGGCCCCCATCAACGAGGTGACAACAATCGCGCATGGAGCCGTCCTGCGTCGGCAGAGAATGCGATCGCCCAGCCAAATACCATGTCGTTGGTGACGGCTGCTCATTGTGCCAATCATGGGAGTATCCTCAGCTTTGATTGTTCACGTGATTACGCGCCAACGATCTCCAAACACGCTCCCCTCCGACACCCCGCACGCGACAATCGATGTCGGAATAGTCCTACATGGAGCTTTCGCTGCTCATTGCTCGTCATCATGCGTGTCCAGACCGAGCGATCGCAACGACGTTGCCACTACCCATACAACAGGGATCATCAATAGGTGCGCTGCCGTCTACATCAGTATAGAGGAAAAGGATTAGCCAAAACCCAAGGTGACGTAGGCTTCTGAGAGGTAGGATATACATCTCGTCTTGTATAGAGTGTTGCTACCATAAACCCCGATCGATGAGCCAACTCGTCATTTCCGAAGTTGCGCCGCACGCCGGTAGGAGTCTGAATATGTAAATGCTACGGAGTTCACCTTGCGCCCAACTTGGTGTACTCAGACAGTAACATCTCTCGACTATGGCGACATCTCATCCAGAGAATCCAGTGAGGTCGGCTGGAGCGCTCAAGCGATTCCGTGACATGCTTGACAAGTAAGACAAATCTTCACAATTCACGTGTGTTGTGCTGATAGCCCAAAGGGACTGGTCTGATGCGGAGCCCTGCCGCAAGAAGTTCAAGATCGAAATCCGCAAACAGAAACGAGCGATTCTCATTGCCAACGCGCTGTTGCGTGGATCAAAGCGCCTTGCTGACACTGCTCACGGACCTGCTATACACGCCGCCGCGCAAGCCTGGAAGAGACACGCGAAATTCCTGCCGTACGAAAACTCCGTTGCAGTTCTGAAGAAGAAATACAGCTTTGCCAACTACAACAAAGAAGTACGTCGTTACGTATGTCACGGACTTCTCGAGAAGATCGCAGCGCAAGAGATACGGGACCAAATATACGGATACCTGGTTGAGCCTGGTCTGGTCACGCTCGTTGAGTCCTGGGATAGCCTCAGGGACGAGCATGAGAAAGACCATAGATATCTGGGTAATCGCCGACAAGCATGTCTATCTTCAAGAAACCACGAATATTGGAGCTTCGACTTCCTCTGCAAGCAGCCTGAATTGCCGGAGATCTTCCAGTGCGAGCATGTCGGTCACAAGTTCTTAGTTGAACTAGTGCAGCACTGGTACAGAGTCAACACCTTCGTCATTGAGCGTCCCGATGACTTGTCTCTTATCCCGGACTTCGCTATCCAAGATCGTTGGCAGCTGGGCATCGTGCCACGCGATCATGTCAAGACTATAACATTCTTCATTCATATGGCTTTCGTTGAACGAGATGGCCAAGGAGTGCCACCACCGCAATTGCCGCTGCTACGCAAGGGATTGGAGCAGTTCTTACAGTTCAACCCTGGTACCAAGATCAATTTCAGAATCCTGACAAGCGCACCACCTAGGAGCAGATTCATCAGCAGCCCTTTTTCGTCGCGTAATGTTGTCTCACGGGTACCGCATGAATGGTCTCTTTGGGCACGCAAAGAGACCGAGATACTGAAGTTTGTTGAGGAGCTTGAGAGCGGACTTTTCGATACGTTCAGGAGACTTTGCCATGCTGGGCTTCTACTGGTGGTTAACGTGGACCCTTATCGTGTGGGTCCCAATTTGGAGATTAGGGTCAACAATGAGGAGGAGATCGCATATGATTCGTGGGCTGAGAAGATACTGGCCTATAAAAGTAACTGAAATGAGGACTGAGGCAACGGGAACTGGAAGGCTACTTTGACAATATTCAGCCCCAACCCTCCGTGGGCCACTTCCCCTCCATCATACCATGTCGTACCAAATATATCCCCTAATGTGCAATCAATACATCAACAACAACCTCCCCACTCCTTCCTCTAGCAACTAAACCCACAGTCTGTGGTACGACATCTACCGTCGCCGTAATAAGCTGTCAAGCAGCTGCAGATGTCGGGGGTAGCTTGCGTCTAGTGTTGATTAGAAAATGCATCAGGAGACTCCGGATTGTAGGTCACTTACATCGAGACATTGCTCGTACCAGAGTGCGCAGATGTAGCACCATAAGAGTGGCTTTCCGTCGGCGGCTTCGGCCGCGACGGCCGCGTCGACTGCGGCGTCAATTGCAGTGACGTCGGGGCGCAGGACCGATGATGTAGGGACTGCGATGGCAGTTGTGGCCATGAAGGCGGTGATGAGGGTGAGGAAGTGCATGGCTGGAATCTATTATAGGAATAAGTTCTGGTAGTTAGGTACTTGGTGGAGGAGTGGTTTCTTCCAAATTAGTGTAATGGATTGTATCTAGAGAGACGTAGTACAGGCTCTTCTTATAGTTGGGAGGCTCCTGGTACCAGTAGTAATGCGTCAACCGCGGCGCGAGCGCTATCACGGCGTGATCTTTTGCCGATGAGTGAAGGACGAAGTCGCGATTTAACCGCTGTCCGTGTGAATGTTGGTTGCGAAAGCAGTGAACCCCTTACTTATCATGAGGGGTAGCTATCTTGATGCCTATGCCAGTGTGCCGATTGACGAGCTTATGTGACCTATCATGATGAAATCGTAATCATCAACAGGTGCGTGGTAACGACTTTGTACACGATCTTCCTTCTCGCGCCCCATCTCATCTGGGTTGCCATTGCGGCCATACATCGACAAGCTCAACGCTAACCTATATCTTGTTGCTCCGGGGATAGTTCCAGCTCTTTTGATTCATAATTCCCCAGCCAGAGGGTACACGATCTGTATAACCGATGATAATGATAGGGGATGCTATTGCCTATAGCTCACAATAGACTTTGGCAGTCAACGGCCTTCACCAGATCCTTGCACCGTCTCCATCGAGCTCTCCGATGCAGGCGTAGGTATACCTCGGTATCATGAACTGCTCTTATGTGACACCCCCGCAGCTGATAGCGGCTTCCTACCAACAGCACATGCAAGATGAATAAAACTCCGCAACGTCGTCTGTATGCTTGCGGCGTGGTACTGACGGCTCATGTCGATGACGTCGTGTCGCTGAATATGCCCAACAGCGATTGAACAGTCAGGGAAGCAAGGGCGTGAGTCACATCAGTGATGGTGTGCGGGACGTAGTAATCGGCTAGATCATGCGCCGGCCCGCTTTTGAGTCACACGAAGCAATCGAGATGCTGGAGGACGATGCATCAGCAGGTGCGTGTTGAGACACCTGGGCACGCGTGAACAAAGAGGACGTCACGTGGGCGTTATCGATAAGCTAGCGCCGGAACATCCTGACGCGGGCACCGCGAAACGTCACCTCACGACGCGTGCCATGGTTGCCTTCATCCTCCTTGTCCCCAACCGCGATCTGCCCACATGCCAACGACACCCGCTTCCTCTTTCGCTGGCAGTGTGCGCGTATGGTGTGAAACCCTGACCGGGTGACACGCGCTTGTCCTGTTCCTGTCCCGCTAGCCACCAGCTCCGCCGCCGGGAACGCACGATCGAGTTCTTTTCGCTTGCCGCTGACGCATCGGTCTCGTACGCCTTGCTCATACGAGCGCATTCGGATAGAACTATATCGCTCGAGTGGTGGGAAGACGGTTCTTGCTGGTAAATGCCGCAAGATCGCTACGGGAGATCATGCTGAATGCATGCCACTTCGGCGCTGGGGTCGTCAAAGGGCGGGCCCCACCATCCTCAATACACTTTCGGCGATGGTGACTTTCCAGTCATGCTGGATAATTGCCGTGTGGAGCGCACCTTGTTGGGTCGTCCATTCAGATAGCAAACAAGAGCGAGGAAGCCTCAAGGCAGAAAGGGCGGCTGTGCTATGCTCCTTCCGTACGCCTGCTGTATCCCGCTTCCCGATTGGCGCACCGCAATGTTCTGGCAGCACTTCATTCGAAGAAGAACCTGAGCGCTATGATGCCTACGTTGACGTTAGGTCATCTACTTGGCAAGATTTCGTCTCAATGTAGGCTGCAAACCTAACGCAGCATGCAGCGCACACCTCCGCATTCAATATATAGTAGTAAAGAAAGCATTCAGCCCTGACGGCCTTCATTCCAGAATAGGCCAGCGGCATGCCGCACATCCTATCAGGCAGCTGCGATTTGAGATTCTGTCGAATTGCGTGGAACCGTGGAGTCATCAAGTGTGGTGGGGGAGTACATATAGAGTCCCGTTCCATGGTAAAGGCGGCTTAGCGAGTATACCTGCCCCTTGAATGCTTTGTGCAGCCGCCAGAACCCAAGCCATTCACGTGTGCACGCTAGCGTAGATCAGTCTTCGGAAGCCGCATAACAGCTCAACCTGCCGCACCGTCCTCGCTGATTCCAACCTCATCGCACTGCCACCACGCACATAAAGCCTGCTCAACTCCCGCGCTGTCGCGTCAAGCACGACTGCACCCCGCACCCCACACAAAGCAACAGTCGACCTGCTTCTTCCGCACGACATTATCCCTCAACACTACACCCTGTGGTCGCGGCATTCTACCTGGTGAATCCTAGTGCTCCCGATTAGCGCATGCTTTCACCCCTGTCGTGCGTTGGCTGAACCCACCCCACATCGCGCCACCTGAAACAGGTACATCGTCAAAGGACATCACCAGTCACCGATCCGATTGCATCTTTCTCACACATACTTTAATCCACCGCGACAATTACTCAAAACCGTTGTAGCCGCCATGGCAAGATTTGACGACTTCCCGGCAGAGTTGCGCAACATGGTATACGACCAGCTTCTCCGCGATCGTCATACTCAGCAGCCAACTCACAACTCTCTTGCACTCTTCACCGTCTCACACCAGGTGCATCTAGAGTCTACTTCTTACTTCTACAAGAACAATCCCATCAGCACCGTCGCCCCGTCGTCGCCTATAAACGCTAGCGCCACCGTGCTTCCTCCTATCGCCGATAGGTACCTTCGATTCCTAAGTCGACTGAACGTATCTGCCACGATTGGGAGAGCGAATCAGGAAAAAGAGCGCAAGATCGCTGATACCATAGCATCACTAGCTACGATCGGCGCAACCTTCGAGGACCTGGAAATTTGCATTCAATCCTCCTTATCAAGGCTTACGAACTCGCGCGTGGATGACTCCGTATTGCACGCCAACCATCCCATCACGGTCTCATTGCGACGACTGCTCGATTCTGGGGTGGCCAAAGTCTTACGCCTCGATCTCCACAAGGTCTGGTTTGCGCCCGGTATCGCCCAAGACCTTCACGTTCGATACGGCACTCGACTCCAGTTCGTGGGTGACAGCAATGCTATCAGGGACCCACTCAGCATGGAAAGGTCTCTCATTGGCGTTTCTGCAAGCTCTCATCTGACCGCCTTAGGTGTCGATGACGAAGTCATGGCCAACGCTTGCTCGGACGATGCTTACACTCCCCGGACGCCATCTTCTCTTCCGTCCTCGATCTGTTCAGCATTCGAAGATCTGGATATGTTTTCGGTGACGTCGTTCGATCTCAACTCCGATACTACTGCCGACGACGAAGGGTCTATGGAGCACGCGAATGAAGGTTCATTCTTCTCTGGCGCCGACATCGAAGAATGGGAGGCCTCGACACAGGCTGCCGAACAGGACGAACCGAAACACCAGTACGACATCGAAATCGAAATCGACGAAGACGACGATGAGGATGAAGAGATGGAAGACATATCGCAAGACGATATGGAGGCGATCTTTGGCAATCTGGAGGAGACCGCTCATCACGTTGCCAATGATGCTGACATTTCATACATGACTAACTTTGCGCCTGAGCTGCTCTTGACTCGGCACAATCTTGGTCATCTGGAATGAGGCTTACGCGGTACTACTACGAGGTCTCGCGATACGGCATGTGTGGACTTCCCATGATGTCAGTGCGTGTTGTACAGCAGCCATCATGAGGCATGATTGCAGCGAGCAATATCGCGTGCAATTTGCGGTTATGGCATCTTTCCTTTCTCCGGCATACACCATACAGCGATCTTCAGCACTGAAGCGTGCTCATCGCGTTTTACACCATCGAGTGTTAGCATTTGTTAACGGCGTTTTCTTGGTTTTTCACATGTATCGGATACCCGTGCGCCACCATTACCAGCATTGAGGCGTTTTTCCTTCATTCCACGACGAAACACTGGCACGGAAATCGCCACGTCTCTTTATAGAAATTACCAATCGAAAACATACCTTCCATCCCATCTCACTTCGGCCTACCGATGTCATCATACCTGAGTCATCGGGGAATGACTCCCATAAACTTGCATCCTCATTGCTAATCAGCTTCTCGCAGCACTAGTATTCTCCCTTCATCATCCCCACCGTAGCTCCCTGCGGTCAGCGATATGGGGAATGATCGATGCAGACTTCGCAAACCCCGCATTTCCGATCCTCGTGATTCCCAACACGACGCGACCATGCCGGAGCCAGAGAACCCCTTCGCTCACTTCGTTCACTCCCAAGCACGCCGCAAATCCGAGTCCGCTGCAATCCCAATTCACGACCGTGATGTCAAGCGCGACACGGCGACAAGCTCCACTGCGCGCAACCCTTTTGCGCCGCCGGTTCCACCAAAGGACGAGCCGCGCGAGGTCGCGTCTGCTTCACCAGCGATAAGTGAGACAAGAAACAATCTGTCTGCTCTGGAGAAGGAGTGGATGCTGAACGACTGCATTCAGCCGACATTGGCACGTGAAGATAAGTTGAGGCAAGAATACTCACCGAAGAGTATGAGGGCGATAGACGAAAGCGAAATTCGGGAGGGAAGGTCATTCGCCCGCCGGATACATCCAGCTTTGAGGTCGATCTCATCACCGCCACGAAGCTTCATAGCCCTCCGAGAGAGTGTACAAGATAGCGGCGTCGACGTGTTCAGTCCCGTAACCTCCAGCGATACAACATCGGAGGACGCCAACAGCGAAATCAAGTCGAAAGCCGCAAAGCGCGATACCGTCGCCGATCTATTCAGCGAGATCATGGGAACCGGTAAAGCGCCACGACTACCGCGTCAGAAAGTGCTAGACGAGGTCTCTACACGCTCAGCCGTGCCACCTCCCCTGCGTATACCCAGCAAGCCCAAGCCCTCACCTCGTGGTAGCGCCCTACCGCCGACGCACAAGTACAACAAGCTAGAACTAGGTGGCCGCCCTTCACTCCAGATCGTAACGACGTTCGCCGAGCCCAGAACCGCACCAGAGCCCCTTGCCAATCGTCGCAGTTACACGAAGCGTATGAGTCACGGGCACGGTCGTAAGGACAGACCAGCACGCGCATCTATGATGCGATGGAGTCTCTTCCAGAAAGATGCGCAAGTACCTCAAGTACCAGAATTGCCGCAATTACCAGAACCACGGAATGAGACACCGCCCATACCCCGGAAGAGCAGCAAGAGAGGCAGAAGTATCACCTTGGAAGAGCCTTTGCTTCCAAAAAAGATACAACTTCCTCTTGAAGAAAGTGTGCCACCGCCTCTCACCAAGCACCGGCGCGCGCAAACCTTTCCAGCGCAAAAAAGCTCTCATAAACTGCGGAAGGAATCAGACATTCGTCTTTCACCCACACTACCGCAGCGCAGAGCCACGCATCACATCACCGTGAACAGGATGCGCGATCCAGATGAAGCTTTCGAGGAACTTATCGCGCTCCGCAGACGTGCGATCGCTGATGTCACGGATGGCGCACCCACGGTGCCTGCCCGGGCGAATGGCAAAATAAACGGAGGTAGTGGTAATATTGGTGGCGGAGGAGATTGTCTCGGCCTATACACCACAGCAAAAGGCCGTGTAGATGACATCGTAGAAGTAGTGCGAAGCGTCAGAGAAAAGAATAGAGCGAGGAAGAAGCGGGAGAAGATGATGGCGGAGGTGAGGAGGAAGTATGAGGAGATGGCTAGTGCGACTAGTAATCAGACGGGTGGGGAGGGAGGGTATAAGTGGTTGTGATTGGAGATGTGATGGGGTTTACTATGTTGGTGTATCCATACTATGTCTGAACTTGGATGAAATTTATTCTCGCTCGTTGACCGTGATCCGCAACATCGACGACCTGGACGAAAAGATACTCTCACAAATGGGGGAAGTCACAAGCGTAATATGATGTTAGCCATGATCAATGGCCACACGAAGTTCTCTGCCTTGCCTTCCCGTAGATCCTCAGCTGAGGGTGGGATGGTGGGCTGTCGTATTGGTCGCTGTCGCCCATCCGATGAGTGAGCTGAGGAGGACTTGAGTTGTGCCTGTGGTATGAACGTTGTTGCGTGAGGATTCAAAATCTGGTAGAGTCTTGCTGAAAATTCTTCATAAGAACGAGGCGTGTTCGAGGTGTTGCTGGTGGTGGCATTGGTGTCTATCTGGCTGACATTGGGTTCTTCGTTCGGTGATGTCATAGTGCTGGTATGGAGTGGAAACGGTAAGAGTTGTCTAGGTGTACAGCAATGTTTCCAGAAGAATTGTTCTGACTGTAAAGATGGGAGGAAATGGTTAGGGGCATGAATACTCCATACAATGCTTTAAGCGGCGGTTAGTGATTGTTGTGTGCGACAGTGTCTGGTGACCCGAGCAAACAGGCAAGTGTCTACTGTTCACAGCTCTTGTTCTAAACATGTCTCTAATGCTGTCGCAGAACCTAGCTGGACAAAGATTCCATGTTTAGAGACGTTTTGATGTTCTTACATACCACGTAAATCCCCAAAGAGATGAACGCAGGCCAACACGATCCAGAAACGAATACGATCGAAACGATGTTTGTACAAACAAACAATCGAGTCGTAGAAGTGACCAAGGGAAAAGGTTCTACGAGCACTGAGATGCAGACTGCCAGGGCACTGTTGGTGATACTTCGGCTTCATATGAACACCGAGTTTGTTACGAGGGCAAGCGCTTATTGTCGACACAAGAGCAGGGTGGACAAGGACCGATGCAACTCGGGGTAGATGGACGACTGCTAGCTTCTTGCACGCGTATGTGGATGACGACTTTCTCTCGTGTTGAAGGTGAAGTTTGGAAACGACAAGGACCGATGCAACTCGGGGTACATGAACCGCTAATAGCTTCTGGCAAGCGTGAGTAGGTGGCGGCTCTCTCGGATGTTGAAGGTGACCTCAAATCTGAGACGGAAGTGGGATGCGAAAGGAAAGGTGGTTTGGCGATAAGTAGTGCGCGTCGTCCGGTGTACGATTAAGAATATTTGTGTACCGCTCACAGTCCGACAACTGTCGTACTCACAAAAGACCCTAGCCTCCACCCTAAGGCTACATCTCCAAAAGAAGCCTCGTCCAAAGGCCAAGTAGCGTCATGTCAGAACCTGCTAGCACCGGGACCGGGTGCGCCGACCAAACCTGCCAATTCCAGCGTCCGGCGCAATCCGAAGCGCTTCGTATAGATCGACAAGCGCATTCAGCCTATTTCGGGACACTTGTCGCGAAAGCTCGCCATTGTCCATCCCAAAGCAGAGCGAGTAGTCTCCGCAGACAGACCGCCTGAACAGCGCCGTCGCAACTCCGGTCGGCCAACCTACATAGGACGCCGCCCTGCCAGCCGAACCCAATTTCGAGGACGTGGCTGACCGCCGATCATCGGCGCTAACGACGTTCTAGCGCCTTGGCAGATATGCAGTCTCGTGGCTAGGGTCAAGTGGCGGTGATAAGCGGCTGGGCTGGGCAAGAGATCCTGTTTTGTAGCTCTCAGGCGTGCCGTTGGTGATGCGCTTTACGGGCGTCTCAATCGTGGTAAGCTGTAGGATCGGCTGGGGGGAGTATACCTCGTTCGGCAGGTGACACTGGCCCCGGGTGTCACAGCGTCAAAAGCCAAGCGCAGCAACTCGAAACATGGCAGACGGAAGAACTGGCGCAATGTGGAAGATCAGTGTTGTGAATAATATTGATTGTGTGAACTGGAGACTCGTATTGGGGTATCATCGCGTCGGAAGACCCAGATCGAAAGTGCGACGGTAAAATGAATCGGGGCGAAAACCACCCAGCCCGAACCGAACCAAAACCGAAAACATGATAACAAATGATTGCCAATCCCATATCTGGAAAACGCCGTGGTAATGCAACGCTATGCTATGCGATACGCCCTTTCCTCTTTCTTCGTAAACGTATTATCTTTGCTTTGCCAGTAGAGCAAGCCGTTGCTATTGTAGTATGACATTCTCTTCCTGCTGGTATACGACGCCACTCGTGTTCTGCGCGAAGATCTTTTGTATCGGAAGTGTGAGTGCGTTCATGATGTTCTCGCGGAAGTCCATCTTGACGTTGCTCTTCTCGAACCAGTAGTGGCGGATGAGCTTGCCCTGGCAATTGCTGACTTCGACACCGGGGAAGCCATTGGCCTCTCCGCACTCAAGCTCCTTGATGTATTGCTCGTAGTCGTAGCGGATGTACTCGCCGAAAGCGGATTGCTCGTGGAAGCGGGGTTGCTTCCATTGCGAGCAGTTGGCGTAGCGGGTGTCGTCGGGGCACTCGTGCCATGCCTTGAGAATGGGCAGGGTTTGCTCGTTGTTCTGGACAATCATGAAGCCGGTGTTGGTGTAGGTGCGGTTGAAGCGGTCGGAGTTGTACTGGGGCTCTTTTGCGCTCCAAGGGTCTTTGGCCATGACGAAGGAGTGGTGCGGCTTTACGTCCCAGTGGTTGAGCATCCATTCGACAGGGACGTGCAGGAAGCGGAAAGCAGCATCGGCGTCGAGGAAGATGATGAACTTGTAGTCCTTGATGTGGTTTGCAAGTGCAGAGGGCTTGATCCAGGTAGCGTGTCGGTCTTCGAATTCGCGGGCTTGGACGAACTTGTAGTCGTAGCCGTGGACAAGCGCATACGTGTAGTGGTTGAAGATGCCGCCGGAAACGTGGTTGATGTTGCGCCAGTCATATTCGCCCCGTTCGTACTCCTCAGTAGACTTGAGGGGACGGGTCTCCAGATCCAGAATCAGGACGTCGCTGCCTAGGTTCTTCTTGTAGCGCGGGTTCGGTGGCAACGTGATGTGGCTGCCATTTGGTTCGCGAATGAAGGGCTCAGTCGGTGACACCTTCAGGTTCTGGTACAGTAGCTTGATGACATCGCCAATGGTCGAGTCGGTCTGCGCGCTGGCTGCAGCTCTGTAGGGTCTGTTAGCTTCCGCCGGAAAAGCATTGATTAGGCCATGGCCCTTCCATCCCAAGAACCATGAATTGACAGCACGTACAAGTTAGACTGGCCATGTGGGAAAGTCACCCGGGGTGGACTCTGCCAAGCCATGAAGGCGAAGATGAATACCAGGACACAGCCAGCGCTCACCGAGAGCGCGAGCAACGGGCTCCGACCTCCAGTCGACGGTAGCATCATCTTGGGCGGCGTAGATCCGGGAACGAGGATAGATCCAAACGAGCGACGCGAGAGTGCAGACGGAGATGTTACGATGGCGATAGGGGGTGCAGCGTGCTGTGGCAGGGCGTCGGGGGATCAGCACATTTTAAAAGACGACAGACCCGCCAGCTCGTCAGCACCAGCCAAGACGCGCAGGAGGTGGCATGGGGCGCTGGGGGCCGGCGAGATTGCGCTTGGCAGGCCCTTCAGCCTTTTGCGGTGTCCCTGCAGCCAGACGCCCCCGAACCTGGATCCACTGGCGGTGCTAAAGTGGCTTCTGGATCCCGTCTTGGGGCGAATCAGATGCTGGCCCGCTGCTGAGCCGTGAATCTTTCCAAATGGTGTTGATGCACGGTTCCTGCCGCGCTGGTAAACGGCTGGCACGGCATCACAGTGCAGTTGGCGGTCATGTGCCGTTGTGGCTGACAGCGCATCAATATAGACAAAGTCGAAGCTGTTGATATTTTCCGAGGAACAGAGGACAGCTGTTGTTGTACGTGTTGGGCTCGAGGCCATTTCCAGTGCGACCGGACGAGCGAAGATGGTGGCAAAGGGTCCAAATTGGGGCGACGCCTACCAGAAACTGGTAATCTCCCCGCCGGACTACCCGCCCCACTCGACATCTCCATCCCGCCTCCTGACATCTTCGCTGTTCCCGATAAGCCAACGCCTCCTTTCCAACATGCAGAACCACCCCGCATCCGACGCCGCTGTCTGTTACTGTCTGAAACGAACCTGTGTCCACTGCAGCGAAGGCCGTGTTTCCTGGGCGGTGCCACAATATGCGGCTGCTGACTGGGCGTTCCGCACTTCCGTGGAGCAATCAAACGTTCGACATTGTCAGCGTCAATGCAATAAGCTCGGTGATTACTACACCTATGGGGCTACGATGGTTAGCCTAGGTATCATTACTGGTCCTGATCACTGATCATCACTGGGGCCGATGTCTATTTCTTACATTCTTGTCCTCAGCCTGCCGTGCCGCGTAGTCGACTTGTCAAACCTCGAGTATGCGACACAACTCTAACTCTCTGTAACTAGCTGCACGGGTGTTCTTAACTTAAAACTGACTTCGTGACGTTGCTTTATAGACCTCATGCAGCGTAGCCTGTGCGCGCTGTATGCATGCAAACGCCAACCGATACTCAGGTCTACAGGAACTGGATGCCTGATCTGCCACTCGGGCTTTACCCACCCTAGCGCAAGGCTTGAATGGACGACAGACAACTGACTCCTCGTAGCAGAGTAGTTTCTAGAGATCTAATTGTGATGCTGGTCTGTTTGACTGTTTTCTCCGTCTGCCTTCCGCTTTGTCGCGCACTCTTTGAGATGAAGCAAACTTCTCCGTCAGCTGGGTATGTATACCGGGCTGCGCCACCACTTTCTCTACATACTTAATACATAACAAGCCATGAATTTAGTTCGCAGACTCCAAGATACAATGACAGAAGCAGGCCACCAAATGGAAAGTTCATCAACCCAAAGCCAGTCTTCGGCACCACAATCCTTCGTATCCACGAATCCCAATCTCATCGACACTAGTAGCGAAGCACGCGAACATGATGAGTCCAACGCTTCCTCTACCGACGACCGAAGCGATCATGACTCACGAGCCTCCGAAATCCCGACACCAGAAGGCGAAACGTCCGGCACATACACCCCCTCACAACTACTCATGGCCATATTCGTCGCAGTGGTAGTCTTCCTCATACTCGCAGTCTACCAGGGCATCTTGTACATTCCTGGTGCTCATCCCATCACCGCCGCGCTCGCCACGGTCTCGATCTGTACCGCGATCACTTCGCAACCCTCCTTCCTTGGTCGCTTCATCTACCTCATATTGTACGCAATCGGCTTCATGGCTAAAGTCATCGAGACATCGGTCCATGGGGGTTATGCCCGTGGCTCAGAGAGTCACTCTAGATCCTCCTCATGCCAACGTGGTTCTGGCAGCTCATCACCAAAACCAAGGCCCGCGGTCCCAAAGAAGAGTAGCCGTATCAGTAGTATGAAGATTTAGGTCACCACTTCTACGCTCCTCTGGTTCTTGGGTGCTTGGTGACGCAGCGAATAGAAGGCCAGTTGTGGAAGAGCCTCCTCTGGAAGAGTTCTTTGACCCTGCTCCATGATAAGGTATACGGGCGGAGGTACGGGAGATTAGAACGCAGCGGCAAGTACTTTGGAGTCCACTTTCCATTTTCACCTTTCTCCGCTATGGTAAATGTGGTAGATGTAGGCTGTAGAACATGCTTATTAGACAGCCAGTCAAGTCGTTCAATCAATAAACTATCAAAAACAGTCTTCCTTCGCAAAATCGTGATCCAAGACCTGTTTGGCAATTGCTAACCACAACGTATAGCTCTGTGAGCTTATGACACTGACATCTACCAGACTGCTCACTCGATATAGTGCTAAGTGCTTCGAAAAGACGCGGGGATAAGCCAAGCCACAGTCTTTACCCGGACGCCCATATACGGATTCGCCAAGCGCATCCACTATACTCTCGTGTTGGTGGCACAGCTGCGGCGCATACATGTGTATACAACCACCACCATCTATCTGGTTTATTTCCGCTTCTCTTGCCTCGTCCCCTCGACATTGACTTCCCACTGATCGTGCCGCCATCGCATTATCATGCGCCGCCACATCCAACATCCATCGATCTTGCTGTGCCTCATAGGCGCATGTACCGGACTCCAAACGGAAGAATCACCGGCTACATTACAATTCGACCTCGTTTTCCCTCCGAACTACTCCTTGATCGAGCCCTACTACCCAGCACCCGTCATCTTCGCGGTTCACAACTTCTCCGCCATCGGCCAAAACACTTTGTTCTGGAGCTGGAACATTCAAGGGCTATGAATCAACCACCGTCGTTGCCTCAGGTCAAAGCCGCCCCGATACCATCGGCGTAGAAATGTCGCCTGATGTACTTCTCATAATTGAGCCAGTCTCGCAGTTATGGAACAACACCATGGATCTTCTTCGTTTGAGCTACACATTTGGGCTGACGTACGCTTGTGGCAACACAACTGGACTCTCGACAACTGTTTCGAACGACACAGTACAGTTTAAGGGAGAGAGCTTCTTTGCGTTATTGCCATACTCCTCAGAAGAAGACGACGAGTCTCTAGTGCTCGCGAGAAAGGGACGCTGCGGCAGACCGATTGGGTCTGTTGGAGTTCAGAAGCGACCCTCAAGTACTTCGGAGCAAGACTGTCAGGTTCTCAACCCTGGTATACAGCCCACGCAATCATGTGCGCTGCCCATCAACGCGAGAGTCACAAGATGGGCGGAGTCTGTGATGAATATAGCAGCGGAGTGTCCTAACCGGACTTGGCCCGATACTACTGGGCTGATGGGTAATTGCATGTCGAGAGCGTCTGGGAAGAACGATTTGGAAACCCGTGGTATAGTTCTGTTCATGATTGCAGCCTTTCTTTTGATCGGAATTTACCCGTAATCTAAAACCAACACTGTTGTCTGGCAACAGCCAATTTGGTTGGAAGACATCGGCTGTGCACCAATAGAAGTTTTACGTTTGCTCTAGAGCTGCACCGCGTGCTTAGGGAAGGATGAAACCATCGCTCGTCAATATACGTCGTCCCTCACATACCTTGAGAAAGAAACCACGTCTACACAGGGTGAAAACAACTCAAACTCTTCCACAAGCAAGATGATCTCGCGATCCTCCGAACCAGCCTACATGACCATCTCTTGCCCGCGCAGCACGGGCATCAATCCCCGAAACAAGATACCAATTGGTATCGTCGACCCGGGTGCGCATCCAGCGTGCACATATTGGCACGAGAATCTGGACAACAGCCTCCCTTGTTGTATCCTTACCTATTTTTACCTCATCACGACTGAAGAACTATTTGCGTGGGTCGGTATTAGTGTATGCGCTTTATGACTTGGAAGAGCTGATGAGATGACAGAACCCCTCCCTTACCAGTGAATGCGGAAACTACCAAGTTGGCCATAGCTACTGCGTTGAAGTTGGTATCAAACCCAGCTATTCTGCGGAAGCTTTATCGAAGATGGTATGTCCGACTCCTTCAAGCTCACGATTGGCGTCTACGCCAGTCTCTCGTCCTTCCACAACGTCGCCGGTTACCTCAACTTCCCCCATACCTTCTCCCACGCCGGCAGTGACCACACTATCTACAACATCTCACGCATCTTCTTCAACATTCGCTTGGAATGGAATCGCTACAGCCCGTCAGAGACTGAGCCGATACCTGGGATTGTGTTGGGGGTACATCACGTAGATTGGATAGACCATACACGCTCTCACACGGGTCCGAAGGTACACTGCCTTGCTAGTAAACCTCCTATACTACCTGTACTAGAGCTTACAACGAGCCAGATGTCAACATGGAGGTATGCCCGCTAACCTCTGGATTGCTATCTGGTAACGGCCAGCATGTAGTAGCCGTATAACCCACCAAAACCTCAACACATGACACCACGACCCACTAGCGCCCCTTGCGTCAGCCCCACAACCCCCAATGTATAACGACAGCAACCCCAACATTCGCAGTCTCAATATGAACAACATCTCTAGCCCTCTTGCTCGCTTTTCCTCTCATCCCACCAACCATCAGCCTGTCGTGACACTAACAACTCAACCACGCTACCCGTCATGTTACCCGCAGCCGAAATCGATTCTGTTGGAGTTGGCTGAGGATTGGTATCACAAGTTTGGGCTGTTTGGGCCGGATCGGGAGCATCTTGAGTCATTTTTGGTGCATGGTGGGGTTATGAGTGTGGTGTAGCAAGTGACGCGTGAGCCCGGAAGCACGCTAGACGGCGACGTGGATTTGAGTTTGTAAGAATATATTGATGATGGGGTATCGAGCAAGTGATATATACAAGAAGAGGTGAAGTCTATGAAATGATGTGATGTGGAGAAAAAAAACACCCATGTGGGGGATGAGCGCACACCTGCTAGGCAGCCCAGAAGTCTACAATGCCTTCATGATATCATAATTTTGGTTTTCATAACGATGTAGACTGCAGGGCATCTGTTCGGGTTCTTCTTTGAACGAGATTGTACGGAACGCTGCTTAGTGACCGCTCTGATTTTGCTGCCCTAGATCTTCGCCAAGCTGTGGAGACCATGGGAATAGATCCAGGAATGAAACGTTATCCTCTTGACTGTGAACAAAGCTTTCATCGGACCTCGGAAGAGCCTGGTGATGATACCCGGACAATGATCCTTGCGCAGACGGAATGTCCTGATGCATGTTGTAAGGTGATGCTGCGGAAGGTAGCGATGGTGAATAGAAAGAGAAAGGCGACGCTAGAGGGCTTTGACGGGTTGGATCCACTGGGCCGTGTATGGAGGTAGGTCCGGTGTATAGGTGTGTTGGAGGGAAGTATGATGAAGAAGTGGTGTCGAAAATGTTGTTGCTTGGTAGGGTGCTCGGATCCGTCGACCCAAGATATCCGCTCACATTGGTTGGCGACAGCGGGCGTCTGTAGTCCTGAGCAGTGTAAGAAGGATGCAGATGCTCTGGCGATGGCCAGACCTGCTGTTGGGCGGCATTGTACGGTGTCAGTCCATGTTGGCCAAGACGAAGAAATGGATCGACAGCTTGGTGAGATGGTACCGCCTCTACGGCTTGCTGCATAGCGTAATGGAGCTGCTGGAAGGCTTGGTCCTCGCCTGCTGCCGGATCATACGATTGAGATGGTATCGAAAGCCCGTTTCCAGCGCCCCTGATATTAAAGAAGTCGCGTACAAGCGAGCCCTCACTTGGTGCTTGCTGTGTGTCGGGTGGAGTATATGAGGTCTGGGTTGGGTGTGCTGCGGATGCATGGATTTGAGGGGTCTGCGGTGCCGAGGGGAGCTTGGCTGGGGCAGGCCTCTTGGCTGATCGGCGACGGGATGTGGAGCGATTGTTGGCTTTGCGTGATGGAGTCGTAGCAGTGGCCGTTTTGTCCTTCTTTCTCCTGACGGGATCGGGGTGTAGACCCGGCTGGCACTTGCGCTCGTGCTTCAACAGGGCATCATTGCGAGCACATAAGACGTCGCACTTCGTGCACCTCAGAGAGGTGGCGTAGTGTTGGGTCCGTATGTGTCGTGCGAGATTGTTCGTCCTGTCGTTACCAGTGAACGGCACATTGCAGTGTTTGCACCGAACCTGGTGAGAGGTCGATGGTGGCGGCGCAGGCGTGGAGGAGGTGAGGTGCCCAGGTGCGTTTGTATCGACCAGCTGCTCACCACGTCGAGGATTGGCCGAGCCTTCTGTGGGTTGCAGCGGTAGGCCGTGGGTAGAGTTCGCGTGCGCGTGTACGGTGGGAGGGATGTCGTTGGCTTGATGGTCGCAAGGCGGCGTGTTATCGAGCTGGTAGGGAGGTTAGTCATGGACGCGCAACGAAGCAGAGAATGGCTTACATGAATGCCATGCTGCGACCAAGGATTAGGAGGTGTCGTGGCACAATGCGACCCTACGCCAGTGAGGTTGTATGCCGACTTGCCGGCGCCCATGGAGGAGCGCAAGGGACGCTCGAGGCATCCATCATCGTTGTGGTATATCGGCGGCGACATGCTGAGATGTTGCCCTCCCTCTAGTCCTGTATGAGGTGGGACGAAAGGTGGGTGAAACACCCAAGGTGGTCAGCGGAGGGTGTGAAGGTATGTGTCGCGGTTTGGTCCAATGCGATCTGGTCGAGGCGCATCATCGGTGGGTGAAACAAACGTCCGAAGGAGGGCTGGGGCAGCAGACTTTATGCATGGGAAGGTGCTGCGAAGCCGTGAACGAAGAGCTTCCCAACGGCAGCCAATGTGGTGCGCCTCCAGCCCGCAAGTGTGTAATTGCTCCTTTGCTCGTCCTCCCACGCTGCATTATCGTCACAAGAAGGCTAGCCGGTGCCCCGTGCGGGGACTGATGTATGAGGGGAGAATTCGTAGGGCTAGCCTAGGGGAAGGATTCCGGAAGGATGCCGAGAGCTTTGGATCTTAGATCGCGACCAGGATGGCCTCGTAGGGTGGAGCAATGAGGACGGCCTTTCTGAAGTCGCGCGTTGGTATCTCGTAGAGGGAGGGACGGGGCGAGTGCGCAGCCATGCAGGGAGCTTAGCAATTCAGCAACTGGGGAAAACGCGATTTGTACGTCACAGGGAATTGTCGTATGAGAGCGTGGTGGTACCAAGAGCGTAAGCCACTCAGGCTAGTATCTTCAAGTCGAGGCGGTGCACAGCAAGGCAACCACCAAGCATGGAAGCATAGAAGCTTTTTGCGCCTCAGATCTCATTTCCGCTCGCCGCGCTGCAAACGCACGGCAACTGCAGCATGGAGTAATGGAATAATCCATATTGGCGTAGACGCGTCCCCATCGCGAGCGCGGGAGTGCCTGGCGTCACCGCGAGCGGGGTGTGCAGTGCACAGACCGCGACAAAGGCACCTGTGGACCTATCGTGATCGCAAGCGGGAGGCGGAGCAGCGAAGAATAGTGGCAAATTTTCAGAATGCGCGCAGCTGTTTGGTGTTATGGGAAGCTCTTTGCGCCCAGGCTGGGGGACTCTTACCAAAGCTTCTTGGATGGTGTGGGTGGAGCGTGTAATCTCCATCAACTGCTGTCCTGCGCACGCCAGCCAACTTGGCGTCGTGGCTTCGCTCTTGAGAATTTTCTGAACATGAAACAATGCCCGAACGAAGGTCGAGACGCGTCCTTCGTAAACATGCTGGCGAAGGACGGGTAATTCATCTTGTTCGACGGATGACGTCGGTGGGTGAGGGGTACCGACTCCGTGACGCTCGAAGACGGCGCTTACGGCTATCTCAACAGTCTTCGGATAAGATCTTGGCTTCGTACGTGGCACGCTCAACGCAGCGTCAAAGCGTATCGCACGCCGCATGCAGTCAGCAACGTGAAACGGGTTCTGGCCAGAATTCGTGCGATGTGATGGCGCATGGAGCTACAGCTTCCCCTTAGTTGCACTGTGACCTGTCAGGGTAAGGTACCACTTGACACCGCACATGTCGATCCCGTCGTTCCCACAAACGCCCGCCTGTCGGGCCCTCTCCAGTATTGCATCATATTTATCCTGGCCCTTGACGCCGATCGTGATCGACACAAGGCCCTCTGGATGCCCTTGACGCCCTGGAACGAAACCCAGCCTGGCGTTCGTGAAGGCCAACAGGTCGCGGCTTCGCACAACGCCAAATATCGCTTCCCACTCTCGTGCGGCCGCTTCGTGGCCAAGGTCGCCGGGCTGCAGACGTAGTACACAGCCCTCTAGCGTAAGGTGTTCGGTCCGCTCCATGCCGGCCCTATAGCGGTCGATGTCTGAACCGCAAGCATGCCATGGAGAGAAGCGAGACTGGACAGGCGTAGGATTCTTCGGACCTGGTACGTGGGAGTCGAGTTCTGGCATCATGCCGCCTGTCACCTCGTTAGCCGTATACCCTTGCGATTGGTAGGTGCCTAGCGTACCTTTGATGCCCTTTGGATGGTACTGAATACACACTGAATCCGCGTAACTATGCTCAAAGATGACTTTGGACAGTCCCTTCGCTTCGATGTATTCGCGTCGCTTTTTCGCGTCTTCGGTCTGCATGATGATCATGTATCCGCCGTCACCGCGCTTCTCGATCAGCCGTCCGGCAGTCGTCCCTGGCTTAATGGGCGAGACCACCTCGATGAAGTCGCCGCCGATTGGTACTACAGTCATGTTAGTCGCTGAAGCTAGGAAGAGACGATGAACGTACTGAGGAAGTTCTTCAACCCCCATTGCTCGACAGCTGGATCCTCGAAGACGACTTCTGTTCCTAGAACGTATGTCTGGCATCTCTGTCAGTTCTCGGTCTGTCGACCTTAACATCGTCGGCCTACAAGCTGCTGCTTCGCGCGTTCGATATCCTTCGCGACAAGTGCGACCTGGCGTAGACGCGTTGGGGCCGGAGCAAGAGCCATGTCTGCTTGGATGTTCTTCCAAGGATATCGGATCTAATGGATAGAGAGAAATGATGAGATTGGGACGCGTAATGCCTCATCGACGCTTACTCGAGCTCAGCGGCTCAGCAGCGAATAGCTTCTTCCCCGCATCAGCAGCCGCGGCACTTCCTAATGCGGAAGCTACAACGTTAGTGTACTAGGTTAGTAGAGCATCAATTGGGATCAATGGGACGATGGGTGACATCGCAGGTATCGACTGAGATACGTATCAGAAGCGGTGTCGTGACGTCGTCAGGGCGTGATGTTGCGATGTTTCATCGCGACTGCCATCCCGGAGGTCGGGCCGAAGTGCCGAAGCACCGATGCTTTCGTCCGATCTTCAACGCGCCTTCCAACAACAATCACCTTCTTTTCACTTCCGCCGCTGATGCACATGAACATTCACCAGTGACTTTATCTAGTCATCACGGCGAAGGAACGACACGAATTGCGCTCCTTTTTTCGCACGCCTCTCGCGTACACCATCCACGACATGGAGATGGTTGGGCTCCAATGAGTCGTTTGCAAGACTACACCGTAGCCTGGAGGTACACAAACCCCTTAGATCGATCTCCTATCGGCAGGTGCTTCTGCGAACATCTCCGGACTAGGTTTGACGATGCATCACGAAAAGCAGCTTCTCCGTATACGTGGGTCTGTTTACTTACCGACTGATACATCTCTTACTTTACAGACCTTGACAGAAGGTCACCAGGCTTTTGGAAAGCTTGCCTCACCGCGACTGAGCTTCTGCGTGTGAGGCATATCAACTGACGATCGTTTGCTGACTTTACTTCATGACATGTCATGCCGCCTTCTTCGGGTCTATCTCCAAACGTCGATAACAATACTTCGTAAACAACTTCAGGACTCAATCCACACACAGCGAACTCAACACTCATCTTTCTTTATTACTCTGGATCCACTGGATGGTTTTATAAGGTACGCTTGATGTGGCATGCGAGGCCCGACCATCGCCACTTGTCACTGTTGCTATTGTGTACGAACTTCACTGGCGTTTGCCGGGCAAAAAGACCTGTCGCAGTAAACCATCGATCCTTGACGTCAACCAGAATACAGGTAATGGTAAGAGACAACCAAGGGCCTGACTACCGGCTACGACCTTTATCTACTATAATCCCCCCATCTACCGATCACTGCGCATTATCGACCTTTCCATACATCTTCTCTCTGATACTCGGGGGTTGTAGCTTTCGGTCATGCGTTCTCAAGCCTGCATCCACAAGAGCTAAACACAACTAACACCCAACGTAGGCTTTCAAGCTACACTGATCCGTCTTCATGGACTCATTCTCGAGTACGGTCTCCGTAGACTTGAGTCCTTTAGTACTACAGGACTATCGCCTTCCTGACATCGCACTTGCAGTCAGATCTGCCGACTCTACATTGAACTTCCGGACATCACACGTCGAATTACATCTGGTATACCGCATACCCTCCTCTAACCGGCTCTGAGCTATGGACGCTTTCGCTGGGAATCTCGCTGCGTATATCGAAAAGTCGTTGTATGCGCCTAATGTTCACAATCTCATACCATGGTAGCTATCCTCTGCTTCGCGACTAGCCACACATGACGAGCCAATCACGACTGTTTCAATCATAACGATCCTACATCGAGTTTAACAAGGAACCGCGTTCGACTCAGCAATCATAATGGATGCCTCAATCATTACAAAGCGTTCGTCGAGGAATGACTGTCAGAGGGCTTCCTTTCACTTTTGGTAGCATGTCCTGAGGACGTACTACACATCTGGAACAGGAAGCTGCCCAAGGTCCAGCTGATCAGGAGACCCTCGTGTCGCAAAGAAAGAGATTACCTCCTCACACTCATGGTCACGGCTGACCTGTTGAGTCATCCAAACCTGTCGACCCCTCCCTAATCAAGACAACATTCAGTCCAGCAAGATTGTCAGTACGTCATCTGCGTCTGTTTCTGACGCGCTCAAGTCCGTTTAAGGGATATACAAACGCTTTTGAAATATCCTATACGCGCCTTTTACGCGTTTTTACGCGTTGTGAGCTTCTGTAAGCGTCTTGTCGGCTTCACCACGGGAGTTCGGGTCCGGTGCCCGAGCGCCCACCCTGCCTGTTCAAATTCGTCTTCGCGGTCACCTCCGATTATACTCTCTTCTTACGACTCTCATTCAGCTTCGAAGTATTCGTTCATCTTCTTGTCATTCTTTATAAAGGCCGCTGTTCCTGTAGTCGTCTTCCCTTTCTTCGACCACTCCCTTGCTTCTGTTCCGGAGACGACGAGTCAATCGTTCTGTTCTACGTTTTCTAGGTAAGTCCCTCTTTTCTTTACTGTTCTGTTCTGTTTAGCGTTCAGCGTTGTGCTTTGGTGGGAGCTTCAGTGGTTTATAGCTCTACAGTGAGCTTGTCAAGATGTCGGACTCTGTCAACAACTATTTCTTCGCGATCGCGGCGGCAACACCGCTTCCTTCTATCGAGGGTCAAGACCCCATCAACAACGGCAACCTCGCGCCTCCGCTACCTCGTACTCGTTCTCAAGTCTCCGCACTTCGTTCACCTTTCACGGTTCGACCCACTGTCCTTTCCGCACCCGTTGCCAAGAAGTCGAGTACAAAGCCAAACAAGAAGCGCAAACCTGATTTCACCATCTTCGTCGACACCGAGGCAGCCAACGACATCCCGAGGCCCATCCAGACACCCAAGCGGTCCAAGACCAACAGCCTACGCACTCCGCTCGGCGACAGGACCTTCTCTACTGCTTCAACGCCCTCGCCGTCTCCCCGTCTTCCCGACACCCCGTTCCGCTTCTCGCCTGCCGACCCTCTCTGGGAGAATACCGAGAACTATGAGCCTTGGACTGAGACTCCTCCTTCGACCCCACTTGGTCCTCCTTCCACGCCCCTCGGTCCCACCGCCTCGGTCGGCCCACCTCCTCCGCTGTCCGCGCGCGCTCTTCGTCCTCGCCGTGATCGTGCTTCTTCCTTAGCCAATCTTCTCCCCCCGGTCAACATGCTTGCCTACAACATGCTTGGCATCCAGAACTGGAGGATCAGCTCTATCGGTATCAACCTCGCCTACCGCAAGGTCGCTAGTAGAACCCACCCGGACATGGTTGCGCCAGCTCAGAAGGAGCTTGCCACGCTGGACATGCAGCAGATCAACGCCGTCAAGGACATGTTGATGGACAAGGTAAGTCTCAATTGTACGAGAGGAATACGAGACATGTACTGATACCTCTATAGGACCTCCGCATCAAGTACCACCGCGACGGTCTCATCCCCTGGGTCGTCTGAGGCCCCGAGATGTTGTACCACACTGATGATACGATGACCACGATACGACTATAATGCTGGGTTTGTGTAAGAGATACTGGAAGAGAGTTGTGTACAGGGTTTTGCCGCCTGTGGCATCCCAGTGTGTTTTCCAAACGGTTGATACGATGAGTATGAGCATGATGGTAATGGTCAGAGGTTAGTGTGGTAATGGACAGTGGTTGGGTATATTGATGAAGGATTATGGTCCGTGGTGATAATGGGCGGTGGTGGAAAAGTGCCTGTCTTTCCTTGTTTTCTTTTCTCTTGCTTTCACGACACTCACTCGCTTATGGTGGTGCTACACGCACTCATTCGCGCACGACGGATACGTTTTCATGACGCTTAACGCGACACGATGGTTACGAATACTGGTATGCTCAATACATTACATTCATTTGTAACTCGAGCGTTGCGATGATATACGAGTGAGTTTCTGAATGATAATTTCGTGTCAGTGAGCACGTCATACACCTCCATTCTCACGTAAGCTGCCCTGAACTTGAGCATGGAATACATGACACAGTCTATAGCACAAAAGACGCGACACATCCCGACCACACCAAAGCCAACAAATAAAGAGCAGAGTGCACTTCAATCCCTCGATTCTTCGTCTATCGTACTCCGTATATCGTCGTCGGGTCGCCCCATAAGCTTCTCACTCAACGCGACCATCGAACTAAAAGCAACTCCGTGTAATATGCTTCGCTAGTAACAACAACAAGTGGTCCGCCCCATTCGCCCATCGGGTTGCCAAGGTTCCGGCCCGTCCCACTACAACATTTCATCTCAGCGGACATCTCCGCGGCACACTCGATCGCGAAAAAAAAAAACTGCCCCGCAGCGTGCCGTGCTTAGCGATTCAGGGCCAATTCGTCCTACCGTCGCAACCCTTCTGCATAACGTAATTCGAAGCGGGTCTGTCGATCTTCCCGTCCAACACCACCACATTCCATCAATACCCTTCCGTCCTAATCCTCACATAACTATCCGCATTACTAACATACCCCCTGAAACTCGGTCCCAGACTCCAACTCGCCAACTCCCTGACCACATCCCTCGCCGCATCGCACAGATCCACCTGGCCCGTCTCTTCATTACTACACAGCGCCTGGTCCGTCGCAAAGCTCCAATCGCACTGGATGTTCAAACTCATATCCATGAGCCACTCCATGCGCTCCTGCATAGCAGGGATCTGGGTAACGAGTTCGCGGAAGGCGGGCCAAACGATGAAGTCGACGATGTTGATGTGCGGCATGAAGAGTTGGTTGGGGGTAGGGCGGAACCATTCGGGGATTGCGTTGTAGGTTTCTGGGCTGGGGGAGATCATCCAGCGCATTAGGTACCAGAAGAGGTACATGGAGCCGAAGCAGGAGAAGGTGTTACCTGTGGGGGGTTTGTTAGCGATGACGTGTTTTTTTTGGGGGGGGGGAGGGGGAAGCGCCTGGTGAGATGTACCCTTCATGTATACGCCGTGCACCATGCCGACTGCCCATTTGGTGAGTATGCCGGAGTTGTTATATACGTCTTCGTCCCAGAGTGCGGCGATGTTGGGGTGGGTTTCGATGATTTGGTCGGCGGGTATGCCCATGTTCATGAGTGTTGTCGCTTGTTCGTAGATACCAGGGAATGCGCGTTTTAATGACCCGGGGTCAGGTATTGTGTTAATGGGTAACATGGACCATGTGGGTAGAAACAGGTTGGTGATTTGCGTCTCTTGGATGTCGCCTGGATAGTGGTTACTTCGGATGCTACTGGAGAATGGCATGTTGCCGAAGAGGTTGCGGAGGTTGAGATTTGGGTGTATCCTGATGGTGTTCACGATCGGTTGTCGACCAGTGAGATGCGTAGGGTATGCCGAGCGTATCGTGTTTTGTCTGTGTGGTGAGGGCCGTTGGCTCCGAGATGGTTTCGATGATGGTGCGGCGTTCCCGACTCCGTCGAAGCTCGTTCCTTGCTGCAAAAGTCGTGGGTCAATCTGGCTTTCCTGAAGCCTATCTTCCTCTTCACTCTCTTCCCCAGCCTCGTCCCTTGTTAGGAGATAGTCCTCTCGATCAAACAGCGGAACTAGGAAGGGATGATCGTTCGCTCCATCTGCCGTTGCTGCTTGTTTTCCCTTACCCGACGCAAATGTTGATGAAGGTGCTGACGGTGACCAGCCTCTGTTCTGGCTGGTGGGTGATGCCATGGAGATATTGGAGCCTTTTCGAAACTGTGAGGCGCCTTTACTCGTGTCAAATGCCGATTCGTGGCTCATACCGCTTCCAGAGGTGTCCGTGGACTCCTGAGCCAGTAAGCTGAACCAGAGTTATAAACTTGTTGTAGCCAGAGGAAGCTGTCGAGTGATGCATACCTGGGGGGTTGGCCGGATACCGCCGGGGATACTGTCATTGGGAGGGTCTTTGCGACCTCTTCAGGTGCTTCACCGAGCCTTAATCGAGCGAGGACAGCGGCGGCCTGGTCGTCGGTCCCGGAGCGTAGCGAGGTAACAATGCGCTTCAGGTCATCCAGCTCGCCAGTCATGCTGTCTCTCTTCATAATCTTCATCCGCTCGGCTCGCGAGACACCTTCGGCGACGTCGTATTGACATGATAGGTCGTTCTCCTTGCATCGATTGCATCGGGGTCTGGTGCCGTCACACTGCGAATAAGCAATCAGCACAGTCCGCGGGGCCAATGAAAGCTGCAAAAGGCCTACGTACAGGTAGTGTCACATGATGTGAGTACCTATAGAAGAGCGCAAATCAGGGATGCATGGGCCTTGAGTACTTGGAAGTATCCTTCAGTGCCTCGCAGGGCTGTAGCATGGCATAGTGCCTGATAGCTGAGCGAAATACCTTGGGATGGTCCAGGGCATTGCTATTGCGTGTAACTCGGTCCTACGTACCTTGGCCTTCCCATTTCGGCACTGCACGCACGCCACGGCAACAGCCTGTCGCTTCTTCCGCCGGTCTGAGGCTGCGCGTCGCTGCCCCGGCTCATCTGAGGCTGGTGCAATGCTTTGCCATCGCTCCGAGTGATCCATACCGTGAATGTCGATGTAGTGGGCGAGATCCCCGGTGCTCAGAAATGCCAAAGTCGCTTGTGGAGCCGGTGGAGCCTAGGCAACGTCGGATGCGTGAGCGTGTTCAGCAGGCCGTGTTGTTGGGCTCGCCTCGCGCTCTGGAGTTGCGCTTCGCCAACCTGTACACATCTGCAGCGGTTCGCCACTTCCTGTTGCACAGATAAACCGGTCGGGGACGCCACGGGTTCCTCGCCTTGGAATATTAGAACGGATCGCATTTGCGACCAAGATCGAATTTGATCGAAAGCTCGGTACAAAAGGCCGACAGCAAGCTTCGTCCGGGAATGCTCTCCTGACCAATGAGACGCTATGGCGCACCATCTCACGTGCTGTAGAGATCGGTCCAGAATAAGGCATCGGAATCTGTTACTATGAAAAAGAGGCGAAGGAGAAAAGTGCATGAGGGTGGAAACCGAGGCTACGTTCCAGACGGATAGATTGGCTAGCTTCGGCGGCACACGTGCGGCGGTTCGGGTCCAGATGTATTTGCTCGCTAGCATTCAACGGGGTTCCAGGCTCCCTAACCCTTCGAGAGCCTCAAACGACCGTCTGAGGTGTGGGTGAAGACTGGTCATGATTGGACGGCGTGTAGTAACAGGTGTGGTGGAGTGGAGGTGGCGGTGCGTGTCGTGCTGACTGCTAGGCTGGTCCATTGCAGCCGAGAAATATCTCGCATCGAAGTGTGACGTCGTGCCATCCACAGCGTCTCCCAAACAACCTTCTCTTGACCTTAGTAGGCATACCATGCATATACGCCAACGGGCGCGGCAGTCAGGTCGGTAGAGCAGCGTCGCCACCGGTCCTGCCTGGTGGGCTCTCCATGTCGCCGACCGTACATTGAGAAGAAAGGCAAAATCGCAATGCGCCTCGGAAGAGCTGGCGGACGAGGTTCAAATACAACATGCGTGATTGACGTCACTGGGCAGACTGAACTCCAGGATTGCTTTGAGGTGCCACGATGGCAAATCCGGAGCCTAGACCACATCGCGTTGCAAAAAATGTCCGACGGATGCTACTGGCTACATGCATCGGCAAGTTGGGTGGAATCGACATGCGTTGGTTGTCGTGGTATTGCACGAAGATCGCAACACCATCAACGGGAACGGGTGCCTGTAGCACTGCGACATTCGTGCGTCCTCTTTTGCTTGCTATGTAAGGTCCGGAGTTTCAGGCCGAACCGCCTCATTTTTTCGAGTCCGCAGTCAGCACTCGGAATATAGAACGACTGATATGGTATGTGCACGGCTTTGCTAACTATATGTCGACAAACTTTACCTCTTTCAACTGCCGTTGCATTGGAGAATCATATCTGATGAGAGCAAAATCCGAAAACTTCAACACGTGATTCTCGTAACGAGTTGCCCCAGCCACGGCTTCAAAAACGGAAAAGTGTGAGAATGCGAGCCACGATCTGTACTGCCAGTCTTGCCGATTCGCCAACGGAGTGCACATGCCGAAACACCTTCACGAAAAGGGTACGAGCCAGACCTCCTAGGGCCATGGAATTCGCAAATCGCATACCCACACCAAGATAGCCTCATCTTGGATCCACCTCGGTTCGCCCTCCGCCGAAATCTCGGCCTCCGGCGCCGCCCGCCAATCTGTCGCCAGCGACAGCTGCATATGAAGTCTAGGTACTATTTAGCTGTGCCTCAACATCAACTAGGGAGCATGCTTCCTGGTCAGGATGGGCAGGGTCCATCTGCGGGGTCTAGGCAGTGAACTTCGTAACGAACTTCGTACGCGAGAATAAGTGTTCAAAAATGTGGATACACGACGAGGTGATATGTAAGATGAATTGCGATACTAGCAACGGGCGAGTACGCCTCAGAAGCTCCTGGACTCCTTGCTCGACATATAAAATCCCCCGGTATATCCGTCACTCTATGTCTACGTGTCTAAGGTCCTCAACTGACAAA